GCACTACTTCTATTCGTACGGATTTAGTCAAATGCAGACTATACTTAGCTTCAGTGGGTCCCCCGGGTGGTCTAAACTGCCGACCCCTGTTCGTGAAAATATCAGCTTTTCGTTCATACGAACTAAACAAATATATATATATACTTACTCGTTCGGTTACTTAACTGTTTGTATTAAATCTGTCGGAATTAGTTAAAATCTGTTCATTATTGCAACCATTTACTACTACGCCTGTGGTTTTTGGTTTAACTATGTTTAATTATAAGATCCTCAGATGTATGACACTTTATCTCAGTACCCAGTTATTTATTCCAAGGCCTTTTGGAGTTAACCCTCTATGTTTTAGTTGTGTTAAAGGAACACTATAGTCACCTAAATTACTTTAGCTAAATAAAGCAGTTTTAGTGTATAGATCATTCCCCGGCAATTTTACTGCTCAATTCACTGTCATTTAGGAGTTAAATTACATTGTTTCTGTTTATGCAGCCCTAGCCACACCTCCCCTGGCTATGATTGACAGAGTCTGCATGAAAAAAAAACTGGTTTCACTTTCAAACAGATGTAATTTACCTTAAATAATTGTATCTCAATCTCTAAATTGAACTTTAATCACATACAGGAGGATCTTGCAGGGTCTAGCAAGCTATTAACATAGCAGGGGATTAGAAAATCTTAATTAAACAGAACTTGCAATAAAGAAAGCCTAAATAGGGCTCTCTTTACAGGAAGTGTTTATGGAAGGCTGTGCAAGTCACATGCAGGGAGGTGTGACTGGGGTTAATACAAAAGGGATTTAACTCCTAAATGGCAGAGGATTGAGCAGTGAAACTGCAGGGGCATGTTCTATACACCAAAACTGCTTCATTAAGCTAAAGTTGTTCAGGTGACTATAGTGTCCTTTTAAATATTAAATAAATTCTTCTGACACTTAATTACTTTAGAAGAGTTTTTTCAACTCCATGCCAACCCCGTACGCCATCACAAACATATATATTAATATATAGCACGATCCTCTGGGGAAATTTTCAAACCCTACATTTCATAGTATTCTCTATTTGTCTTTAGCTTACGCAGACATTAATCTTAGCCTTTGTTACATTTCATTGGTCTCCACAGATTGCCCGTTTGTCTTGTATTTCTGAGTAAAGTTGTCAAATTCAAGTTCTTGTTTTTACAATCCAGGTATAGTATTTACTCACTTCAGTTTCAACCATGTCAAGGCCTCAGACAGCCTTCACTCTAAACTTGTCACAAACGGAATTTGTTAATTAATATATACTGTTATAAACATTGGTAATTGTAATAATATACAATGGCTTTAATCCATAGCTCCAACATTATTCTAGGCCTCCTCCGGTTTTCTCCGTAATAAAACGCTTCTGCTCATCCAAGTACCTGTACAACAAATCAAGGTATTGTACTCCACTCATTACGGGGCTTTTTATACTAGACCTGACACAGTCTCTATTTATCATGATTATCACACGGTCCTACGTCCTTGTTGTGTTAAATTCTCTACATTTTTTACTTAGGCCTACGTTCATACTGCCATCAGGCAAGAACCTACTCAACCTACCTAACCTGGTATTTGCATTCTTACTCGTTAATAGCACTTGCTACCCCTAAGGCCTCAATCAGCCTCCCTCTTTAGCATAAACCCGTCCCAGTCTCAGACTAATCCTTCAGATCCCTCACCTCAGGATTTCATGTTGCGCTCCTATAGCCACTCCTTACTACAAAGCATACGCCCCTACGTTACGTTCAAACATATCAACATCTGTCTTAACCCTTAGGCTTCTTCTACGATACCAGCAGCGGCCAAGCCACTCTACTTCAAAACACTTGAAGGTTCAAGTTACCGGCTATAACCACTATCAAGGTTAGTATCCACTCATAACACCAGTTCACTTGCCTTCTATGGGTTCAATGGCAATTATGGTGTTATGAGTGGAACTAGACCTCTATCTGCATAAGGTGGTGGATTTGGGCATCAAGTACGGGGGCTCATCTTTTTATGATTACCACAAATCAGTATCAGCGAAGGTGGCGACCCATCTGAAGCAATTTAAAATTAGAATTAACTGGTGTCAGATGGATACTGAATTATTCTGTCGCCACTTCGCTGGTCTGAGGCCCCCGTCTTGTGCCGTATGTAATCCCACAACCCATATGGCTGATTTGTGCCCCTCTGAAGCTGATCCATCCACCTCCACTCCCACCCCTCAAACAACTTTCACCCCTCACATTAAACAAGCAGGTGGTCAACGGGATAAACTGGGCAGACCCATCTCCTTCCTAGCCAAAGCGCAGGTGTGCAACAATTTTAATGCCGGATCCTGCAGCTTCAGCGCCTGTAGTTTGTTGCACATCTGCTCTATCTGCTTCAGGACACACACGAAGACCATGTACCTGGCCAGGTTGTCCCCTAACAAATGACTAACCGACATTAATGTCGACAACCTGTTCTTTTTATTTGAGACCTCATCCAAGCAGGCATTTGGTGGAGTATTTGACCACGGGGTTCACACAGGGTTTTCTCACAGGTCTCGTAGCCATCCCCTCAGGCACGCTTGAATGTCACAACCTCTTGTCAGCCTGCCAAGACGCAGTATCCACAGACACTCTCCTTTCCTCTGAAATCTCACACGGTTTCATGATCGGCCCCTTCACCTCCTCACCTTTGTCCTCCTGGCACACTAACCCAATTGGTATAGCTGTGCACAAATACTCTAATAAAAATGTCTAATTATCGATTTATCGGCACCGCACGCCTCTTTTGTTCCCAGCATTAAAGGACCACTATAGTGCCAGGAAAACATACTCTTTTTCCTGGCACTGTAGTGCCCTGAGGGTGGCTTTTGCCTCCTTCTGCCACTTACATTTAAAACTTTCTCACAATACCATTAAACTATACCTCACGGGGGTTCAGCACCACAGTCTCACTAATTTCCCTAACAACACATCCTTCTTGTCATCATACCCCATCAAGAAAGTCTTAAAGGGTATCTCAAAGGTTTCTGTTCCACTTACCACCACCTAACTACCAATAGGCCTATCTTTAGATTACTCAGAAATCTACTTGATGAATCCCCATTCGATCCCAACACAAACCTGGTGATCAAGTCTGCAATTTATCTAGCTTTTTACGGTTTCCTCAGACGAGAGAATTCACCGTTATTTGTCAAGGGGATATCTCACACAGCCTAAAAATCTCACACCTCACTAAGGTGGAAGATCACTACGTACTCACGCTCTCATCTACCAAAACTAATCACTCACTACACCCCACTATTATTCCCCTCTTTCCCACTGATAATGCTTGGTGTCCGGTTAAGGCACTAGACCACCTAAGGGTCAACTCACCACACGCACTTACCAGACCTTCCGCTCTTATTACTACAAGGGCGCCATTAGGCCTGAATTTGTGGGAGGGATAAGTCCCCTACTTAAACTTCCAGCCCCTACTCACCTCTGCCAGTCAAGTTGATTGTCCCCACCCACCTTCACCCTTATAGCATTACAACTGTCCTTGGTGGGCCCTCTTTTATTTACAGGCCCACTCGTATGTTGGTTTTCGGCACACCACAACCAACTTTCATCTCAGTCACTATCCATTACGTATTAAAATCTGAGCACAAATATATATATATATATATATATTTAAATCATATAGATATTAAATATATATATATAATCTAAGTATATATTATTTAATTAAACTGTGTTTGAACTTATATTCACTTCATTCCAGGTACTCCCCCTGCTGTTACTGCTATGGACGGCTATTCTGTCCATGTGATCGTGAGGTTCTCACAATGACCTCGCGATCACATGACCCATGAGGGCCGGATCAGCAGCAGGGGGCTCTATGGATGCCAAACAAGTTCTCCCATCGAGATCGCTAGGATGCAATCACCAGGGAGCAGGTAAGTGAATAGGATGGCGTGGACGTGCTATGCTGCCCGCTGGCGTTTAGAGCCGGATCCCCAAGGACGGCATAGCACGCCGTCCTTAAGGGGTTAACACTGTCAGGGTTATTCACAAAATTGAGAATTATTGGGAATTCAAAGTGTATTGTAAACTAAAGGCCAAAATACCTTAAATAAAAGAATTACTAACGTGGAGAATTTTTGCTTTCAATTGAAATTTAAAACTCACATTGAAGGAACATTATAGTGTTAGTATCCGTAATGCTATATGTCCTTTTAACTATTTAGACTTTTGAACCCCCCTCACCCCCAACGTTCACACAAGTGGTCTTTTAAACTCTTGATGTTTCTGACTTTAGTAAATGAATCTGTGTAATTTTGGTTCTGGATACTATGGGATAATCATTGAAAATGTGGATTCCTCAAGACGCCAACATTTGAAACAGTAATACAGGCTAATTGTTGATTGGAGCAACTAAGACAGTTATTTTATTTTAATTCTTTATTTTTTATTGTGCATCGATTGACATACATGCATATGATGCCATGACGGCAGTGGTAATCATAATAGGTACATACATCAAAATATCGTGTCATGGTATGTGAGTATTCTGCACTTTTTAAGGTATAATAAAACAGGCTGAACTTTGGATCTAAATGTAAGATCTGAGTAACTACAAATTTATAGGAGCGTAAGGTATTGCTTGGAGCATGGTATATGCTAGGTAGGAGCTAGGTAAGGTTAAGACAAACTTAGTATAACATGCTAGGGTTAACACTGTAGGTTTTGTACCACTGGTCTTCATCTTTAATTTTATGCATATGAGAGTGAGATTATGGGACTCCCCGCTTTACAGCTTCGGCTCACTGTAGCTCTATGCCATGTGGGTTTTGTAGATAAAGCAAGCTGAGGCAAAATAACGCTATGGAGCATGGAAATTGGAAATTGTGCTGAGTGTCCGCTCAGCCGGGTGATGTAACTATCACACTAGACTAGCTAATCTTTAGTGCTGCCGTGCATGGCCTAACGTGTAGGGAGGCCTATGGCCGAGTCAGGGTCCGCAATCATGTCTAACCAATGCCCATCTGTGGCTGTACATATTCTGGATCTGTAACATGTCCACTGGGCTGCAGTGGGGTGTAGCATCTACAGTCCCTGCCCCTGTTCGGGATCGCGGGAGAGTCTCTGCATCTTGTGGCATGTGGTATGTGTCTCAGAGCGCCATCTATTCTCTTTTCGGCCTGTTTGGGGATCTGTCGCTGGGTTCTGTGGGTCAGAGCCAAATATGAGGTTGGCGTCATCTTCGTCCAAGTGCCGCGAGGAGCTCGGGTTGCCTTGCGCTTGATGCGGGTACCTAGTTTCCTTTGCTGTAGCCTGGGCATCGCAGCAGCAGCGGTTGTGGCCCTTCTCTCTTGTGGGTTATTTTCAGGTTTGTTCTGGGTTGATTTCCCCACTAGGAGGTCAGGGTTTCCAAGGTCCCCGTCGATGCATTGTCTCCGATGCAGCGTGGGCTGTGAGGGCAGCGTTTTAACTTCAAGTTGCTGCCAAAATCTCTCAAATGCCCTGTCTATGCGTTGCAGTATGTCAACTGTGGAGCAAAATTTCTACATGATGAGATTTACTAGTGGAAGTATATGCCAAGGTGTGTGTATACATGTGCAGAGATAGAGTTACTTTTACTAAAGTGAGAATTCAATTTTAGTTGAAAGTTAAATTCCAAACTAAAGCATACTAGCCAAACAAAAATGATTGCTGACTGAGAATCTTTCCAGTTCAGCTATTGTAACCAATTTGAAATTCACTTCGAATTCTCACTTTAGTGAACACACGTTTGTATCTTTTTGTACAAGGTTTGTCTGTTTGTTAGCTTTGTTAGTGAACAGACAAGGTTGTTCACTAAATAATACTGGGGAATTCCAACGGGTATAGTAGCTTTGAATGCACCACCGGGACAATCCTTTTCTGTAGATTAAGAATTGCTTTTTCCAGTTTCCATTTTTAAGTTTCTTTGACCTTCCATTGTTGTGTTAAAATTGGACAGGATGTATGTGGACACGTCAACACTTTTTTAAGTGTATGCTACTGAATGTTATATGTCCTTTCTCTAAAATTTAGGTTTAACCATTTGAAAATAGTCTAATACAATACAGTAAAAGAGCCGCCATAACTTCATTTAGTTTTTATACTAAGTTGTTATAGTGGGGACCATTAATATGCAAGATGATTTTAGTTATGATATGCAGAGATTTATGTTGAGGAAAATTGTTGAGAACACATAATTTGTTACTCAGTACTGGCCTCATTAAAGTACGGATTGTTTCCTCTCCGTACACTTGTATGATGAGATTTCTTCCCCACCAGCACCTTTACCACAGGCTTGATGTTATTTCCATATAGTTGCCGACCTGCAATGATTCGGACTCGGACCTTTGGGAGAAGACATTATGATCAGGATTAGCAAAATATTCTGCATTCATTCCATGAGTGCTAGCCCTGTACATATGTTCTACTTTCCAGTTTTCATTTATTATTTTACCAATTAGAAAATATTCTCTATTACTGCTGGTTGAATACCATTATACATACAACACACATATACATTCTTGTGTTTGTGTCAAGAGCTAAATAACTGGAAAGGGTGTCCCACTGCACAATAGGATCTACATAAATAAGATAAGATGGAGATGAGATATCTAACCATGGAATTTTATATCTCCAATGTTCTCTATGTATTTCTTTCAGTTTTATTGATTTCTAAAGAGTAACAACACAGTACTTCTGGAATGCGCACATATCCTCTAGATTGTGAGTAGGGTCCTCATCAACCTATTGTCCCTGTAATATTTTGTAATTGTCTCATTCAGTGTTAAATTTCCCCCTCTTTAATATTGTGAAGTGCTATATAAATGCTAATATTAATTACATTGGTGGTTTATAGAACAAAGAAACATACTATGTCAAAATTACAGCATGTAAGAGTCAATGTTGTAGAGGAGCGCTACATGACAATATTATATGGAGTCAACCAATAAAGTAAATGAGTCATACAATAAAAAATCAAAACATAATAAGTAAACTAACATTTAGGGGAAGGTAAGAAGCAATGGTTAGTTAAACCTAATAGTGGTTAAATGTATCAATAGACAAATGGCAGTAATGGTGACTGTAATGGAAGCTCTCATGCAGTGATAGCAGCAAGGAAGCTGACCTGCTAGATGTACTCAGTCGGAGTATGGGAGCTCCATCATGTGTTACTAAGTTTGCTAAATCCAAATGACTTAGCTATATGTAATCCCAAAGTGTGGGCACCATGCACTGAAGCAGGGTTAGGCAACCTTCGGCACTCCAGATGTTGTGGACTACATCTCAACTGATGGTTTGCCCGCATTATGGCTGTAAAAGCGTTATGGGAGATGTGGTCCACAACATCTAGATTGACGAAGGTTGCCTATCTCTGCACTAAGGTATCATATGAAACAAGTAAAAGGGACACAATAGATAGTACAACCATTTCGTCTCACTGAATTGGTTATATTTCCTGGAGTCACCTGGTGGTATCCCTGCATTTAGTGTTAAACCATTTTTGTGCAGTTTAACTATAAATGAGTGTCCAAGTCCACCCACAGATTACATACTTCCTTCTAACTATACCAGTTCATACCAACAATGGGCATTATGATAGGCTGAGAGTGTCAGCTGACTGTGTTTATCCTATCACCACCACTCACTGCTGAAGTCTAATGCTTTCTCATTAGCCCAAGCACCACAGAGGGGATGGATTGGTGGGGATTCTTATTTAGAATTAAAACAGTGAGTAAAAGACATTAGCAGGGGACACCAGACACTATACCCATTGCAATTAATCAAAGAAGTTACAGTGCCTACAGTGTTCGTTTAAGGCTGCTTTTTTCCACCATATATCTAATATCTTTACTGGCAAAAGAGTCTCCTAAAAAAGGTAGTAACATTTTTCTTTAATAAGTGGGGAGTAAGGTTAACAACCATTTCAGCACGGAAGCCAATCACTCTTTGCAGCCTGATCCTCTTCAACTGATGTCACCAGGGCCGGACTGACCCACCGGGATACCGGGAAAATTCCCGGTGGGCCGTCGGCACCTGGGGACGGGCAGGCAGCTGGCTCTTCTGGCGGCCGCAGGAAGAGCTGGCTGTTCTGTCTCTGCTCCCCCTCCCCAGCGCATTGCTTAAAGACCGGGGCCGGAATATGACGTCATACTCCGGCCCCGGTCTCATTAAGCAGCGCGCTGGGGAGGGGGAGCAGAGACAGAACAGCCAGCTCCCTCTGCGGCCGCCAGAAGAGCCAGCTTCCCCTGCGGCCGCCATCAGAGTTCCCCACAGGTAGACATTGTGTCAGTGTGAGTGTATGTGTGTGTGTGTCTCTGTCTGTGTCATGGTGTGTGTGTGTCTCTGTCTGTGTCATGATGTGTGTGTGTGTCTCTGTCTGTGTCACAGTGTGTGTGTGTCTGTCTGTCATGGTGTGTGTGTGTGTCTGTGTCATGCAATGTGTGTCTGTGTCATGGTGTGTGTGTGTGTTATGTAATGTGTGTCTGTCTGTGTCACGGTCTGTCTGTGTCATGTAATGTGTGTCTGTGTCACAGTCTCTATGTGTCGTGGTGTGTGTGTGTCTGTCTGTGTCGTGTGTGTGTGTGTCTGTGTCACGGTCTGTCTGTGTTATGGTGTGTGTGTGTCAATGTGTGTTTGTCTTTTTTAAGGTGTGTGTCTGTCATGGTATGTGTGTGTCTCTGTCATGGTGTGTCTGTTTCTGTCTGTGTCACGGTGTGTGTGTGGTTCTGTCTGTGTCACGGTGTGTGTGTGTGTGTGTTTCTGTCTGTGTCACTGTGTGTGTCTGTGTCACAGTCTGTCTGTGTCATGGTATGTGTGTGTGTATGTATGTTTTTACTCACCTTTCCCCCCCACCCCACGTCGTGCTGGTCTCCCCTCGACTGGCCCTGCCTCTACGGCTGAGATCATCAAGCTTGATGATCTCAGCCAATCTGCACTGACACAGGAAGCACCTCTAGTGACCGTCTGAGTGTCTGTCACTAGGAAGCAATGTAAACACTGCCTTTTCTCTAAAAAGTCAGTGTTTACATTGAAAAGCCTGCAGGGACAGGCTATAGACACTAGAGCCACTACATTAACCTGTGTGTGTGTGTGTGTGTGTGTGTGCACGCCTGCTAGTGAGTGGGCTTGTGTTTTTATGTCAATGACCTTATGTATATCAGTGAGATTGTTTGTCTATGAGGCTGTGTATCGATCAGCTTGTGTCAGTGAGATTGTCTGTGTCTGCATGTGAGTATGCTTACTGTATAATTAAACATTTTACTCTGAAAGGACCAATATTTTATATTGGAAAAAGCTATATACATAGCCTTACATATTACATGCAACAATATATGTCGCAATGACTTATGGGGCTGGCAAAGATTTTTTTTTCCAAGGCTGCTTTGGAATCCCCAGTCTGGCCCTGGATGTCACTCACTCTTGCTGCAGGGAACGAGATGTCAAGAAGACTGTGGAAGGGGGCAATGTCACCACTGGACGCTTGTTGCCAGCATGCTGTGCATGATGATTACAGATGTCGAATATGAACAGAATTACCATAAGCCAGCATGAAATTATTGTTCAGGGCTGGCTAAAGAAGCCCTAATGACACTTCACCGGGTGGAGTAGCACCTCTCACAGAATAGGGTTAAAATCTGTATGTTAAAGTCTGCACATACAGACTCCAAGTATGAAGACCACTTCAAATCACTGAAGTGGTCATGGTGTTTGGAGTAACCCTTTAATCTAAAATTAAGCATTTAAAGGGACTCTATACTCACCAGAACAACTACAGATTAAAGTAGTTGTTCTTGGGTCTATAGCCTGTCCCTGCAAGATTTTTGCTGTAAACACTGCCTTTTCAGAAAAAAGGCAGTGCTTACATTACTACATATGGCCACCTCTGGTGGCCGTCACTCAGACTAGAGGTGCTTTCTGGCTAAAATCTACTCATATAGATGCAGTGAATCAATGTGTATCTCCATGAGGAGATGCTATTTGGCACAGTGCAGCGATTTACCGCACATGCACGATAGCGTCCCAATGCTTTCCTATGGGAAACCATTGGATTGGCTGAGATCATCAAGTTTGATGATGACAGCCACAGAGGCGGATCGGAGCCAGCACCGTCATACCTGCACAAATATAAAATATAAAAATATTGTTACTGAGAACCAACAAAATTGTTGGTTCTCAGTAACAATATTTTTATATTTTATATTTTCTTTTGTCAGTAAAAAGGGACAGCAAGTATCAGACAAAATTATTACTTTAACATAGTGTCCATTCATTGTTCATGAAGACCATAGCTGGTAAAATGGATGATAGAGTTCCACCTCACCTGAAAGTCTTGCACATTGTCACTGAAATCCTTTTTCCACTGATCTTGTTCTATTCTTAAACCTACAATTGAGACATGAATACATTTAAAAAAACACAGACACCGTTATGTCCCCTAGAATACAAATATTACACAAACTCTGTTCAGTGAAATCCATGACATTAATAGTGATGGCGAACCGTTAAGCTATAGTGGTTCTGGTGACTATAGTGTCACTTTAAAATGCTCAAAAATGGTTTAACACTGAATAGAGGGGCAGCACCAGAGGACTCTAACCAGTTCAATTACATGAAATGGTTATAGTGCCTACAGTGTTCGATTTAAAACAACCAGCTTTTCTTCTGTTTATATTTTGTAAGGAGTAAGGTATCTACTTTTTATTACCAATCTACCTCTGTGGGAGTTTATGCATGAACAGGTAGGTTGCTGTGATGTCACAAGCTCCCAAGCTTACTGCTAAATGTATCTTTAACAATCAGTTAGCTTTCTCACCTTCATGTATATTCACTTTGCCTGTTTTCTCCTTCCAAGTGCATATAACTTTCAAGGTGAGGGTGTTCTGAAATTAAAAGACAGTTACCATATAGTGTATACATGCTTCAGGAAAGAAGAATGGATATATAACCAGAAGACTTGTTATGTTTTACAACATTTTGTTACATGAAGAATAATTAAGCACAAAATTCAAACATAAGTGAAGCAAGTAACAGACACCTCCCACACTACCTGTGCTGTTTACTTAATATATTGCCTCAACTTCCTATTCCTCAATTACACATAGGGAAGGGCTGACAGCCTTAGGCCTGGGGAGCAAAGCCAGTCAAGTAGCCCATTGCACCATGAGGAGAGTATAAAAACCTTTCCCATGTGATTGAAAGAGGTTGCAGTCACCTAAACAGACTCACTGACGGGCACACACACACTTGCTGATTTGACACACACTAAAAAACACACACTCACTGACAGGCACACGCACACACTCACTGACAGACCGACACACACACACAGACAGATACACTGTACACTGTTACAGGCATACTGACTCACACAGACAGACATACTGATACATACACACAGGCATACTGCCTGACAAACACACAGATATACTGACACACACACGGCAGACATACTGGCACACACACACACACAGGCATAAAGGCCAGTGCAAGGATTTATGGCTACACAGGCAAAGATGCATTTTGACTCCCCTTTAGTATGTCCTACACCATATTGTGTCTCTTATAACCCCCCTTGTGTATCTCTTTCTTTTCCCAGTCCCTTTATGTGTCTCCCCCGTTTCTTTTTGCGTATCTCTTCCACCTCCCCGCCCCCCATCCCCTTTCTGTGGCTCTCTCCCCTCAGCGCATTTTGTGTCTTTTTCCATGCGATATAGACATAGATATATAGCAACACACAACCATACAGGCACAGAGATATGCAGGCACACAATCAAACAAATACAGACACACAGCAATACAATCTACACATACAGGTACAATGTCATACAAACACACAGAGACATTCAGACACTGTCATATAGACACAGGCACACAAAGACATACATACACAGGCTTATAGACATACAGATACAGGCATACAGAGCAGGGGTGGATCCAGAGCCTAATCTCAGGAATAGCACTGGTAGTGGGTTGTAGTGGCTGTAATTGAAAAGAAAAGACATGTAGTAGGGGGCTAGGGGCTGTAGTGGGGGGACAGGGGCCGTAGTGGAGGTTATGTGGATCTTATCTGGACAGCCCACACAAGACAGATCCCGACTCTAATTCTCTCGCTTGACGCAGAGAAAGCCTTTGACAGACTGCTCTGGCCCTTCCTATTCGCGACCCTCGAGAAATTCAGATTCCCACAAGAATTTAGGAATGCCCTAAAAGTACTATACACCACACCGCAAGCCCACCTCCTACTCCCGCATACTCAACTCCCCACCTTCACGATTCACAATGGCACATGCCAGGGATGCCCACTATCCCCAGTTCTATTTGCACTCTCCCTTGAACCGCTCCTACAAAGCCTCAGGCTCAACACTGACATAACAGGCCTCAAAATACGCGAGGAAGAATATAAAACAGCAGCATACGCAGATGACCTACTCATCACAATCACGGAACCAGCGACCTCCCTACCGCCACTTCGACACGCCCTGGAGACATACGCGGCAGTATCAGGATATAAACTAAACATAGATAAGACAGAAGCCTTACCCATACACATTGACCCCCCCACAACAGCAGCCATCCAAGAAAAGTACCCCTTTAGGCTAAATTCCACCCACATACAATACCTGGGGATCTCCATCCCGGCAGACTTACCTCAAAGCTATGCATTGAACTATACACCCACGATACAAAAAATAACCCATGACATCTCCACCTGGCAAAACATGCCGATATCATGGCTGGGCAGATTGGCATCAGTTAAGATGAACGTGCTCCCTAGGCTCATATACTTGTTCCAAGCCCTGCCAATCCCAATTCGGAGCGCCGACTCCAAAATGCTACAAACAGCTATCGACAAATTCATATGGGCCAACAGACGTGCCAGGATAAAATGCCAAACCCTATATGTACCCAACAGAGCCGGGGGCCTAGGCTTACCACACCTTACCCAATACTACCAGGCGGCCCATCTAACGCAGGCTCAAAACTGGCACGCCCCATACGGGGTCAAACGTTGGGTAGACCTCGAACACGACATATTTGGCAGAGACTTCCCGTCACTATACATCTGGCTACAGAAATCAGCGAGGCCCCCCTTACCCCGCACATCACCAGCAATAGTCAACACCATAAAGATCTATGACAAAACAACTCAAAAGAGCGGCCTTACAACCCAACACTCACCACTAACCCCACTGCTTCGCAACACCCAATTCCCACTGGGCATGACACCCAAAGACTTTGCCCGCTTCGAAGCAAACAACCTCACTCGACTTTTCCACTTCTACAGAAACCAACAACCAATACCATTCCCAGACCTCCCACAGGCCACGCCATACCGTACCTTTGACATGTTCCGCCATATCCAAATCCAAAGCTTCCTGGAAACGCCAGCAACCAAACAAGCAGGTACTAAAGCACTCACACCCTTCGAAAAACAATGCATACAATTCCCGACACAAAAAGGCCAAATATCCGCACTCTACACACACCTAATACAAAACGTCAAAGACGGGGCCCTTACATATGTGTCGGCTTGGGAGAGGGATCTAGGCCTGGCGGAAGACCCGTCCGATTGGGCCGAGATCTGGGAGGCCACAGCCTCTATATCAATTTGCGTCAACAACAAGGAACAGGCATACAAGACGCTAATGAGATGGTATCTCACCCCCTCAAACTCAAACAGATGGGCAGGTCAGACACAGATTCCTGCTGGAAGGGTTGCGGACAAAAGGGCACATACCTCCACATGTGGTGGGATTGCACACCCACCGCACAACTCTGGCAACAAGTAACCTCCATGGTATCGAGAATCCTCCACAGAGATATACCACTAGACCCCTGGACGTGGCTCCTATCCAAACCACTAACCAACACACCCAAAACAAACTAATCGCCAAAATAGCGCTAGCCACCAGGAGAGCCATAGAAGAAAAATGGAGTAGCCCAGAAACCCCGTTCATGGACACAGTAATGCACAAAATAAAAGATGCAATCAAAATGGACGAAATGTCCGCACTGGTACACAACACGACTAAGCACTTTCATAAAATCTGGGACCCATGGTTCTACGAAAACCCTCTTCCCACCTGAAACACACACACACCCACCCCACACCAAAAACACCCCGCAGACACACCAATCACAAGCACCACACTGAACCATCAGGCACCCCACCCCTTCCACAATCCCCCTCCCTACACACATAGGGAGACAAAGTGCCACGACCACCAACCACAATCCGCGACCACACCAGAGAGAACCACCAGACAAAATCCCCAAAAGACCGATCAGAACCCCCAATATAGGACACCCCAAAACAAGAATAGGGAAACCCAACACAACCGTAAAACCAGAAAGCAGCCGAAGCGGCTAGAATCCCACGAACATTCAACAAAACCACCACAACACCCCCAAAAGTAAGCAAAACCACAACCCAACACAAACAAGGGGTAACCAGTACACACACACACATAAGAACAAAAACAGTCAGGAAGACATCAACACGGGTCACAAAGCACTGCACGACAAAGGCCGCATAACACAAACTAACATGTATTCACCAACAAGCAAAAGGCCCACACAGGTCGACACACTCACGAACTCAACCGGCCATTCCATATAAAATGAACCAGAACTAAAATGAAAAGTACATAGGAAAACGTATGTGAATGTAATCTACCCCCCACCCTCTCTTTTTTCTGTACCCCTCCCGACCCCGCAGACAAGATAGAGAGCCGTGCAAAACGGCTAAGCTCGAACATACGTAATGTTTAAACAAGTCAGTAATGCAAAACATGTAATAAAAATGAACCCCCAAGTTTTCGTTCCCACACTCCCACCCCAAACAACAATACCCACAATCATCGCATAACACAAATTAACACGGACACACCACCACGCAAAAGGATCACACAGAACAACTCACTCCCGAACCCACCCAGATGCACCAACATAAAGAGAACCTGAACTAAAAAGTTGATACAAAAGAAAATGTATGTGATCGTACCCCACCCCCCATCCCTCTTTTTTCTGTACCCCACCCCTCTTTTTTCTGTACCCCACCCAAACCCCATGGAAATGCCGACAGACATGCAAAACGGATAAAGTTTGGTCATATGTGCCTTGTGCGACATATGTCACTGCGCTTCACACCCTTGACAGCACGCAGGTAAACGTTAACCCATAGATGACCGATACACACGAACAGCTTCACACAACGATCGGGGACGCAGAAACTCCACAAGCTCCCTCCCCCCCCCCGCCAGCCCCTTAGGTCAGGGGTACACCATCCTCCGGGAAACCCTAGATACACGGGTGCCCAGTCCACCAACATTGAACGCACATTTACCCACAGCTTGACCAAGATATCTTGACACAAGACCAGCTCACATCAGATATGCTGAGCAACTTTATCATACTCAACCTCAGTGAGCTGGGCCAACCGGCACCACGAACCGCCACGAGCCTGGGGACGTAATGCACCTGAACACAACATTGACACAGCTCTCTCGACCACCCATAGTAGGTGACATCCTGGCACAACACCACACGAACACCTGTAATACAGCATCCTGTAACCTTGAAAACTACAACTGTTACCCACACACACCACTCCTGCTGACACACACCCTTTCACCTTTTGTCTTATACTAAAAATAAAAATGTGCGCAAACCTCAAATGCCATAATGTTACACCAACTGAACCGCTTAAAATTATGACTCCTGCTGTTGTGGCAGAATACGCATGTATGTAAACGCAAGCACAATGCAAAAATAAAGAATTTAAAAAAAAAAGTTTGGTCATATGCTACGATAGAACATGTTAACTCTGTAAATTGTGTATTACAACTGTACTCCCAACTTTTCCTTTCTGTACACCCACCCTTAACAAAAAAGAAGCCTCCAAAAATAAAGAATTTATAAAAAATAAAAAAAACTAATAATAAATAAAATCCATTGAGAAGGATAAAAGTAAGGCAAAACTTAAATAAATTTCATTTTAAAAATGATGTTATGGGCCAGAGCCTGACCACCGATGTAGATGGAAGTGTGATCCCTGAGCTCCCTCACCCCCGAGCACAAAATCAGCGTACATCAGCAATTAAAAGAAGCCATCCACACAAGAAAACGAGCACCACGCATTAATCCCACAGTCCTCACCATAAATCCACCATGGGAGGCAACAAAAAACGGAGAGAACAAACTCCGTTAGTGGCCACGCTGTTCCGCGCCTAAGAGCAAGGGCGGCCATCTTTGGCCCAAAACACACAGAACTCTGGCTCAAACTCTGAAGACAGCGAGATGCCAGAGGACATCACCGCTCCCCTAAACATGTGCAACCTGAGAAAATTACTCAGAGAAACTTCCGCAGACATCAAGGCCTACACGGCGGCGGAACTGGAAAAACAAATCTCGGGCCTCAAAAGCAACATCGACGTGCTTACATCGCGCACAACGCAGGCCGAAAAAGACATCATAGGCCTGACCAAAAAAATCCTTACTATGCAAGACAGGATAGTGTAATTGGAAGACGGCTTGGAGGATCTCAATAATCGATCCCACAGGCATAATATAAGGATCCGAGGCCTACCCGAAACGGTCCCAGTGGAGGCCATACTCACTACCACCAAAGAAATCTTCCTCAACCTCCTGCTGGGGGCCTCCGACCACGACCTCACGATCGAGAGAGCACATAGGGCATTACGTCCCCCCACACCTAATCTAGCCATGCCGCGAGACGTGATTGTCAAACTATTACTCTTCACCACCAAAGAAAAACTGATGGCTGCAGCCTGCGCAAAGTCACTGACCCATCAGGGACAACCGCTACAATTTTTTCAGGACCTCGCACCCAGGACTCTAAGAAAACGCAGGGAACTTAAACCCCTCACCACCTCACTGGTCCAACATGGCTGGAAATATATGTGGGGCCACCCGTTCAAACTAATGGTCCGGAAGGACAATCAATCTTACACCCTCCACCACCCTACAGACATGCTGGACTTTGCCAAACACATCGGAGTCCCACTCCTCCAAATACCAGCGCCCACTGACAGGGACCCACAAAGATCCACTCGTCCCACACACAGGGAAGAATCGACACCTCACCGCCTGTCCCAAAGGAACAGACCGCCTCAGACACCAAGGAATTCCTTACAGACGGGCACCTGAAGGAGAAGAACGGAGACACAGACTTTACATGCAGGACTTGCCTCCAATACCATCTACTGAAAATGTTTTCTCCCTATTAAACCCCCAAAAGAGCCACCCTCCCCCTCTCACACTGTCCAGCAACTTTAACCTTTACCACTAAGGGTCCTAGGGTTCTCCTCCCCACCCAAAAGCCCCCACCACCCAGGAGGAACAACTCGCATTTCCCTGGCAAGGCGAGGGATACACCAGGCATCTCCCCGTGGCTTATCCAACTTGGCCCTTACTCCATACAGGACCCGACCCATCCAATCACTACCCCGGTCAGGCCTAGACTTAACGCGGCCTCCGGGGAACCAGCTCACACCCTCCCACAGCCAAGAAGGAGAAACCCACAACAGGCCGCTGACATAATCAGCACAGGCCCACAAACCAGCCCCGCATAACCTCTCACTATGAGAACTATCCATATCCCTCGTAGATAATGGCATGTTAAATGTATAGCTTAGTATCAAAGGCGCACAGGCGCATGTTTATTGATAGCAATAGACCGGGCGAGACGTGCATGGAATCAAGGGGGCATGTCTACATATCACACCGCATGCACTAAAAGAAAACATAGGCATAGGTGTACCAACCAGGCCCACAATCCCCCCACTACTATACCTAACAAGGAGAATAATCCACGTCCCCCCGGCTACTGTTACTGTTATTATGTTATGTATATGGTCTGGTTTCATAGGCGCACAAGCGCACGTTTATAAATATAGTCATCAATAGGAAGGAGGGGAGAGGCAATAGAAGCTAGATATGAGCAATGCCTAAGCTCTCGTCTTATAAGTTAGTAAGTTGAATGCAAAAAGTAATGAATTGAATGTTCTTTATTATTTCAAAACTGTTGTTCAAAATGTACTACTACAGATGCACATCACCCTACAAAGAACTCACAGCCCCTCCACACTACTTCCCGGGACGGGACAACCCCAACAGCCTTTCACACTCCATGGACCGGGGGGATGAGGCCCCAATGCAGAGAAGGACACTGACCAACGCAGCCCGGAGAGGAGGTACACTACACACTACCACGGAAACCCCCTCACAAAACGTATGCCTAACCCCCTTTTAAACGAGACACCACACACTTGACCACACTGGCAAACATAAAGTCCACCGCCCACGCGGTATGCCCCACTGCAGCTTAGAGTACACAGGGCAAATAGAGGAACCCAATCCTTCTCTGTGCAGGCATTAAGCCCCCCCCCTCCATCTCGCAGCAGCCCCACAGAACCTATCAGCCCCACTTGAACCTAAAACCTGGAGGAGACCCATAGAGACAAAGAGATATGCAGCACCACCCATCTGGTTCTCACGCTCTACAAAGCCACACCCCCAGCACACCTAGGTTCCCAGGACATTTCCTCTAGAATAAGAGATTGATTGCACACTCTACCTGATCTGGAAACACAGGGGGCACAAGGAGCACCACTAAGGGGGCCACCTAGGATGGAGGCAGGACCTACAGGACGCACTAAAAATCAGACCGACAACCCGAGACAGTGACCTCAAACACTAATCCGTGCACACCCCTCACACGACACTCAAATCACACGCTTCCCATATGCTCACAGGCTCGGGGGGAGGAACGGGACATACCGGCCTCCTCGACCCCACCACTTCAAACACCTTTCTCCATACCTAACCCCCAACTTCCCTCTGTCCCCGCAGACAGGCTGGGCAAAACTCCGCTCCCTACTAACCTGGCTATATCCACATAAGACCAGGTCTTACTGACACACTCCTCATACCCACGGCAGACTCATCACCTTACCCAGATGCAACACCATCTACCCGTACTACACAACCCCTCCCTAACCCTCTTTACCCCACCACCCGCCTGGTCTCCCTGCACACAAACCAGGGGCACTACATCCCAGAGGAGGGAACGGGGGGGAGAGGGGAAGAGCCATGGCTCGCTCACTGATTTGCACCTCTATCAACTGCAAGGGCCTCAACAGCACTCTTAAACGCCATCAAACAAGCCACTGGGCGAATAGAACCTGTGCGCAAATCATCTTGTTGTAAGAAACCCACTTTCAACACAACAGGGCATTCCCACTACAAAACCGAAATTTCAACAGACACTTCCTAGCTAACTCACCGACAGGCAAACTGTTACAAAAGACTGGAAATAACTATGTTACTGTTTGATAACCAATGGATACTGTTTGTCCCTGTGCAAGTTTAAACCGAAAGAAGCACGAATGGATTACTCGAACCATTATAAAGACTCCATTCGTGGTACGAACAGAGGACCCCCCAGAGTTTGGCGTGTGCCGCCACTTAACCCCGTCACCCCGCAAACTACCGAACGGTCGACCACCCGGCCAGCGGCGTGTGGCAGCCATTAACCACCCAGGCGGCTGCGGTTTGCGGTTAACCACAACTTAATTGATAGACCTGGGGGCATCGATGTTCGCATCGAAAATACAGAACGGGATCTACCGAACTAACAACCGAACGACGACCCCCTACAGCGGGCCGCGTGGCGATCATTAACTTGTGGTTTCTGCGGTTAACCGCAAGTCAAGTACCCTTCTACCAGGTGGTCCTCGTTCACGTACCGAACGAGTCCCACTACCAGACAGACAGCGGGACTTCGCATGAACTGATACCCGAGTTTAGTTCCACGAGTTAGAAGCGAGGTCCCGCTGCCCGCTAAACCATCAGAAAACATGGCCGCCAACAGAGACTCACAATCCAAAATGCCGAACGGACTTTATACGGCAGCAACCGTCCGTTCTGTTCGTAGGATTGGAGCGCCATTCGCCTGTTTAATGCATACGAACGCGAGCCTTTAGATGAGTGGTAGAATGATTGGTTTCCCTGTATTAATGTAAAAGTTATAGATTTTTATGCAGTTTTCTGGGACATGATAAAACGTGGTCTTTTGTGCGCTTGGAGATAATTAGATTGTAAAACCGTTGGCTTCATTATCTCCAAGCTGTGCGGGTACTAATTCAAATAATACACTGGATTGTGATTGGATATTTGTCTGTACTGTACCTGTATTCCATCAGGTCCACAGGGGGCTGTCCTTGGACCTGAGGAATCACATAAATTGCCATGCTATGTGCCAGTAAAGCCAGTTCGTTTTGACCCTCAACTTGCAGCCTCGACTCATGTTGTAGGGATCCGGGATACTGATGCTTATATCGTGCTTGGGGATATTCTACATTTCCGGCTTACTACCGAAAGACCTCCGTTCGACTCTCTGCAGCGGGAACCAGGACATCCAAGCGATCAACCCTCCTGCTAGACCGGGGGCAATCGTAACACAAACAAAACGGAGTAGTGATCTTATTACACAAAGCATGCCCCCTTACAGTGGAAAAAATCAACGCCGACCCTCAAGGTCAATATATTACGGTAGCAGGGAGAATAGGTGCTCAAAAACACGCCTAATCCTCAATTTATGCTCCTAATGCCCTATCAGCCTCCTTCTGGCAAACAATACAGGCACATCTTGCACTATTCTCCTCATAACACCTGGTATGAGGAGGAGATTATAATACTACCTCATCCCCAGCGATAGACAGGCGCAGAACAGGACTTCTAACAAACCCCCGCATCCACACTGCTAAACCCGACAAACTCTTCCAATCCTTCCTCACACGAACCCGTCTCATAGACGTATGGAGGGCCCAACACCCCACCACCCAGGACTACACGTTCTACTCCCACCCACACCAATCCCATTCACGCATAGACATGTTCCTGACTTCCCCATCAATGCTCCCTATGATCAAATCCACGACTATTGGATCAATAACGTGGTCGGACCATGCCGAAATCTCACTCACCCTTGACCCACCAAACGTAACCTGCCAATGGTCCTGGCGACTGAATCCTACGCTGCTACATAACCCCGCGATCTGCAAGTCCACCTCACAGGCCATTTCAGACTACTTCTCCCTAAACAAACACTCAGTTACCTCACCGGGGATCCTATGGGCGGCACACAAAACAGTAATCAGAGGCACCCTGATAAGCCTGGCCTCCCACCATAAAAAACAATGCCTAACAACCCTCGAACACAACCTAAAAGAACTCCGCTCTCTGGAAACCACATTCAAAATCCAACCCACGCCCGACCTAAATGCTAAAATATTACAATGCCAGGCAGCCATAAAAGACTTCATGTCTGCGGACACAACCAAAGCCCTCCAATGGACCCGTCAGCTCTTTTATGAGAAATCGAAAAAGCAGATACTCTACTCGCCCGTAAACTGAGCCGCAGAGCTGCCCACAAACAGATCACCAAAATCCACTCGAAAGACGGAAACCCACACGAGACACCAGAACAAATAGCAACAGTATTCCAAGAATACTTCTCAGAACTCTATGACCATAGCCCCCAACACAGACACAACCCCACCCTGCTAACTGCCAATATAAACGACTACCTCGACTCTATCACTCTACCCTCACTAACACCTGAAGGAGCTAGAAGACTGACTGAAGCAATCACACAAGAATTAGCTAACACACTCAAAACCCTGAAACCAAATAAATGCCCGGGCCCAGATGGCTTCTCGGGTCTATACTACAAAACTTTTGCAACAGTCCTACTCCCACAACTAAGCAATCTCTTTAACTCAATGTTACAGGGGGACCCTCTTCCCCCAGACATGTTGCAGGCAAACATATGCCTCCTACCGAAACCCGGCAAATCCCATCTTGACTTCTGGCATTACAGACCAATTTCCCTGCTAAATGTAGATGTTAAGCTATTCACAAAGGTCATGGCAGAGAGCCCTTCTACCAAAACTCATCCACCCGGACCAGGTGGGGTTCATCCCGAACAGACAGGCTGGTGACAACACAAGACGCACTTTCGACCTCATTTGGTACACTGACCGCAGACGTATTCCCACCCTGATCTTATCCCTCGACGCTGAGAAAGCATTTGATGGATTGCTCTGGCCCTTCCGATTTGCTACATTACAAAAGTGCGGTTTCCCACGACCCTTTATCAACGCCCTGAGCACGCTATATTCCTCCCCTACAGCTAAACTTCTCCTGCATTCGGCTAGACCCCATCCTTCCAAATTAAGAATGGCACACGGCAGGGATGCCCCCTCTCCCGAATCCTATTTGCCATCTCCCTTGAACCGCTACTCCAAGTCCTTAGAACCCACAAAGACATACACGGAGTACATATTAGGGATGAAATATTTAAGACCGCCGCTTAAGCGGACGACATCCTGTTGAAAATCACAGACCCGCTAAACTCACTCCCACCCATGTTCACGGAGCTAACAGAATACGCCAATATCTCCAGTTACAAACTTAATTTAGAAAAAAACAAAGCTCTCCCAATACAGGTTGACCAACCCACCCTCCAATCCCTCTAAGCACGACACCCGTTCAACTATCAGACCTCTGCCATCAAATACTTGGGCACCATTCTCCCAGCAGACTTAACACAAACCTACAGCCTCAACTACGCACTCCTACTTGACACGGCCTCACAAGATCTAGAGAAATGGAAAGACATGTCAATCTCTTGGATAGGTCGAATGACCCCGATAAAAATGAACCTCCTCCCGAGGTTCTTATACCTCTTCCAAACCCTCCCAATTCAGATACTCATGTCCGACTTTAAAAAACTGCAGACCAAAATAGATAAATTCATATGGCCCGGTAAAAGAGCTCGGATCGCCCGCCAAACACTTTACATACCAAACAGATCGGGAGGACTGGAACTGCCCAATTTCACCCAATACTTTCACACAGCACAAATAGCACAAACAATTCAACTCCACGCCGCTCCCGGCCTTAAACGATGGGTCGATTTGGAACACAATATATTTGGAAATGATTTCCCATCTCTATACATCTGGCTCCCGAAGGAAGCCAGACCCCCTGCCCCTCCTACTTCCCCAGCAGTCCTCAGAATGATCAAAATATGGGATAAAATTACTGAAAAACATGATCTCATCTCCCACCCCTCCCCACTAATGCCCGTCCTCCGAAACACAAAGTTTATGCCAGGTATGTCCCCAAAGGACTTCACCCACTACGAAGATAATGATCTGACCCGCATTCACCAATTTTATAAGAACCAACAAATCATACCATTCACGCAACTTCCCCAACAAACCCCCCTCACAACCCGAGACTTTTTTCGATACAAATACGCAGCTTCATTGCCAAGCCAGCCCTAAAGAAAGCAAGCACCACCCCCCTTACCACACTAGAAAAAGCATGTAGCAACCACCCTCTCCACAAAGGACAAATCTCAGCAATATATTCCCTAATTAGCAAAAACACATGGGAAGGTTTCATGTCCTATATGGCAGCCTGGGAGAAGGACCTGGGCCCCATAGAAGATCCAGACAACTGGGCAGCGATTTGGGAAGCCATAGCAACTATCTCGATTTGTGTCAACCACAAAGAGCAAGCATATAAGACACTTCTCAGATGGTACCTTACTCCCTACGCCTGAAACAAATGAAACAAAAAGACAACGATCTCTACTGGAAGGGGTGTGGGAATAGGGGAACATTCATCCACATGTGGTGGGAGTGCCCACAGGTAGTCATAATCTGGCAACAGATAGCGCAACTAGCATCGCAAGCACTACACACCACCATCCCGATGGACCTATGGCTATGGCTACTCTCTAGACCTTCAGAGATACCCCAAGGGCAAAAAACAAACCAAACTAGCGCTAGCCACCAGGCGAGCAATTGCAGAGAAATGGGGGAGCCCAGATATACCACCCATAACTCTCATAAAATGCAAAATCAATGAAGCAATGACAATGGATAAACTTTCCGCCCGTGTCGCAGACCATATCAAAGGCGACATATGATATCAATAACACACCAACAAACCCCGAAGGAACAGACATATGGAGCGCCCATGACACGGCATAACACCCCACACGAGGAAAGGTCATCACACACAACAAACGAACCTCTACACCCCCTTGATACCCCCCCTCTCTCTGCTTCCCGCTTCCATCTCCCCTGACACCCTAAACTCCTCCCGAAAGGAGCACTACAAATATATGCCGAGTAACATTCAGGAAAACTGTTACAAATTAGGCACAACAACGCAATGCATAAGCCAATACTTGATTTATTAATATTGTTATTAACTGTTATATGTTAAACTAACATTTCATCCTAATCTCTTCTTTCTGTAACCCTCTCCCCATAAAGTACAAAAACGAAACACCAACAAAATAAAGAATTTATAAAAAAAATAATGTTATTATTTCAAAATCTATGTTCAAACCTTTTGGGATTAAAGTGTCAAAGTTAAACATCCATTTCATTTCTGCTTTACTTAAGATTTTATCATTACAACATCCTCTCCAGTGGACTTTAACTTTCTCTAGACCCAAAAATGTTAGTCCTTCTGGGTTACCTCCATGTTTTTCAGAAAAATGTTTTGAAACACTGTGGTTCAAAAATGTATTTCTTATCAACCTAAATTTATTTTTCGTGGAGCAAGAAATTTTATGCAAATTTTAACAAGTAGTTTTTTGGATATTTTTGTCTCGCTTTAACTTCATTATCCTCTACAGAACCAGTTCTAAGAACGTTAAAGCTGACGCCTTGTCTAGGCAATTTGACGTTAAATCGGATCTAGAACAAGAAACATCCCCTATTATTTCTCCTGAGTGTATTATTCCATCCACTGTCCTTTCTTTATCGTCCCCTTTGCTCCGTGCTATCATGGCGGCTCAGCCCCAGGCACCTTGCAACAAACCTCAAGATAAATTGTTTATTCCATTGTCTGACAGGAAAGAGGTGCTGAAGGTATTCCATGACAATGTGACCGCTGGGCATCCAGATATTAATAAAACTATCTCCGCCATTTCCAGGTCATTTTGGTGGGAGTCACTCAGGAGAGGTATTAAAGATTATGTAGAGGCCTGCGCTGTATGTGCAGTTTCGAAGATTCCTCATAAACATCCGTGTGGATTGTTACAGCCACTTCCTATACACAGTATCCCATGGTCCAATTTATCGATGGATTTCATTGTTGAACTGCCTCGTTCCAATGAGTATAGCAATATGTGAGTGAGACCAATTTGTATTTATTTATCTTTTTATTGTACGTACAGATTTTTTAGGTTTCTACCTATTTATGGTAATATTGCATGTGTATGTTATTTCATGTACACTACTAGTGTGCTCTTACCGGCATTTTGTATTTTTAATTCACTGTACTTGTGTGGTTTTTAATTCACTGTTCCAGGTGATTGTAGCATTTTGTACTTCTTTTTAACCCTTTACATTTATTAGTGTTCAACTACAAGAAACGTCTGACCTCTGTGATTGTCAACAAGGGTTTTGCCACCAAGTACTAAGTCAAAATTAATACTTATTTCACTCATTGACATGCAAATCAATTTATAACTTTTTTGGATTTATTTATTTTTGGGTTATTCTGTCTCTCACTGTTAAAATACACCTACCGTTATAGACTGATCAAATTCCGATCCCCATTGGTCTCTCCTGTGTCCTTGCCTTGGGACTGCTAAAGGTACACCACCTGCACCGTAAAATCAAGATGGTGGCTGCCCCCTTACTGGACAGGCAGGGCCTGGATACAATCAAAAGGCTTCACAGTGCAATAACTGAATCTATCTTGCCGCGTCTGGATACTATCTTTGACTGCCTCTGGCAGAGAATTCGGGAGCGTTCACAGGCAGCCCTTTCTAAGCAACAGGAGGATGAGGAAGGAGAAAATCTGAGTGGAGCAGGCCTCCCCCGGGCAACGCTATTACAAGCACTTACCCTACTGCCACCCTACCTGGGCGGAGAGCCCCTTGAGGCATAGCTTCCAAGTATCACCCACAAAAGCGGAGGATCACCCGCTGGAAACGGACCTTCCACTTACCCTGGACGGGGGAAGGACTTGGCCCTTAGAGGTTCCCGAGTAAGTAGTCGAAGATGCAGGCCCTCTCACAAGCCTGGGACTGGAGGAGTCCATTAACCTCAATCGCTCGTGGCGCAGACAGGGATTGGCTGATCTGAGTTTTGAGCCCATAACGAGAGCACTCTAACTATGGCTGCAGCAGAGCGGGAGTCACATTAATTGAACACAGCTATTTTTCTGTTACATCATTTGTATTTTACGTTTTTATGATAGCCCTACTTATTCATGCCTTTTGCTTTATGCTTTACATAGCAAGGTGTAGAATCTCAGTATTTCCTGAGTGCCAGTGGTCTTATGCATTTAACACCTGGTTTAAATCTAATGCATGTTATTAATCTCTGTCAGTCATTTAAACCTGTCTTATACTACTTGATTTGCAAAATAAAAACATAGAAAAAGAGGTCACTATACTCTATTGAACAATGTTATGTTATATCGTGAATTTTATTGCTTATATACCCTGTACCAAACATGACCTCAATAAAATACAGATTAACAAAAATCTTCTTTATTGTTTAACCTTTTGCTCGTTTGTTCAATAAATACACAAACATACTCTCATGGATACCAACAATTGCAAAGACAACACAGGTTTATACAAAAAAAAATCTTTGCCAATATCAATGTAGGCTATTGTATAATTTGTTGTACTGTATATGTTTTCCATTATATGTATAAGAGTGTGTCTCTATAAGAAAATCTGTCACTGATCCTATTGTTTTAGCAGTTCTAGTAGTTAAGTAAGAACATGAAAACATTTATATCTGTTTATATAAGGTAAAAGCAACATTGGCTAAATGATTCCATAACAGAGGAGTTCAATCTAATGTTTTCTTCATCTTCATCCATATCTGCCAAATGAGAGGTGTAGAAAGGAGGGCAAATACTGGAGGATTTAAGTTATAGGCTTTCCACAATCAGCAGTTAATTTCTATTCTTTTGTCCAGGGAGAAAGAGCATAAAAATACAGCTTGGCTCTTTCCTCTGCAAAAGTTAATTACTTCAATACCCTCATAACCACATTCTCCCGCGAACACAAAGACTATTTCACACATTTACCTCTCTTCTTCGCCCTGCTGTTCCTCCTCCACCTACTAACTTGTTCGCCTCAGACTTTGCAACTCACTTCACTGACAAGATCTCGACAAACAGCGAAGAGATCTCTCATCTTTCTTCTTCCCCTTACAATACTTCCCCTAACTTCACTCCCTCTGCTGTTCTATGTTCATTCGCACCCGCTACATTGGAAGAGGTTTCTGCTCTGCTCCAGTCCTCTCGCCCCACCACCTGCTCCCTAGATCCAATTCCCTCGCATCTCATCCGTACTCTGTCTTCTTCTCTTTCTCCACGTCTCACTAAAATTCTCAATATCTCTCTCTCCTCTGGTATATTTCCATTGCCCTTCAAACATGCAACTGTAACCCCAATTCTAAAGAAGCCCAATCTTGACTCCCCATCCAACTATCGTTCTATCTCGCTACTGCCTTTTGCATCCAAGATCCTTGAAAAAATTGTTTATGCGAGATTGACAGACTTCCTCGAGTCCAACTCTCTGCTAGACCAGCTTCAGTCTGGTTTCCGCGCAATGCACTCTATGGAAACGGCACTCACCAAAGTATCCAATGATCTACTCGTTGTAAAATCTCATGGTCACTACTCTATCCTAATTCTCCTTGACCTGTCTGCGGCTTTTGACACTGTTGATCATCAACAGCTTCTTCTCATCCTTCACAATATTGGTCTACAAGATATAGCTCTCTCCTGGTGCTCCTCCTACCTCTCCCAGCGCTCTTTCAGTGTTTCTTTCTCTGGCTCTGCTTCTTCTCCCCAACTCATCTCTGTTGGTGTACCCCAAGGTTCAGTCCTTGGTCCCCTACTGTTCTCCATCTATACTGCCTCCCTTGGTAAATTCATTAGCTCCTTTGGCTTCCAATGTAATTTCTATGCAGATGACATGCAAATCTACCTGTCCTCTCCTGATCTCTCCCCGTCCCTCTTGACTAGTGTCTCTGACTGCCTCTCTGCTGTTTCTAACTGGATGGCACTTCCTTAAACTAAACTTGACCAAAACTGAAATTCTGGTCTTGCCTCCCTCATGTGTTGTTACTCCTGTGTCTGTCTCCCTCCAAGTCAACGGTGCTACCATCAGCTCCACCACGCAGGCTCGCTGCCTAGGTGTTCTCTTTGACTCCGACCTCTCCTTCAAGTCTCATGTTCAATCTATTGCCAAATCCTGTCATTTCCATCTCAAAAACATTGCGCGCATCCGCCGCTACTTAACACCAGATGCGACTACGGTGTTGGTCCATTCCACTGTCCTTTCTTGCCTTGACTACTGTAATCCGCTTCTCAGTGGTCTTACGTGCTCCCAACTTGCACCGTTACAGTCCATAATGAATGCGGCGGCAAGGCTCATCTTCCTGTCCGCCCGCACCTCCCATGCCTCACCCTTCTGTCAGTCCCTGCATTGGCTTCCTATAAAATATAGAGCTCAATTTAAAATTCTGGTTCTTGCTTTCAAATCTCTACATAATGCTGCTCCCACCTATCTATCCTCCCTTATACACAAGTATGTCCCGTCTAGGCCCTTACGATCTGCTGAAGACTTACGTCTGTACTCCCACCTTTGCTGCTCGTCCACCCATTGTAAAGCGCTGCGGAATTTGACGGCGCTCTATAAATATCATAATAATAATAAACAAGAATATTATCATATCTTGCTGAGAAACAGGTCAGAATGTAATTCTCTGAGAGTAGGCAGAGGTGACAATGATTAGTTAATGCTAATTTAGATACAGTGAAGGTGACTGAGATTACTTGTATTAAACTTCAATTAGATACAGTGAAAGTGACGAGGACTGCTTGTATTAATGTTCAGTTAAATACTAACGCCTGTTGTACCACCCCCACATTTCAAGACAGATGGGAAACTCAACCAAGCCTCTATGAAGCCTAAGACACCAACTAAAGTGCTGTCACTGGTGCTGCAAAAACAAATACCACAGGAAAACTATAGTATATAGACATTCAATTGATATGTGATGGATGACTGCAATCAGGCCCGGACTGGCCATCGGGCACACCGGGCAAATGCCCGGTGGGCCGCGTTGGCCATGGGCCGAGGCCGGCAGGGGAGGTCCCAGGATCTCCCCTGCCGGTCTATGCAGGGCCGGCACTATCCGAGCGCCGGCCCCGCTGTCTTCCATGGAGGGCCGGTGGGGAGATCAAAGCTCTCCCTCACCGGCCCATTTAAATAGACCGGCGGCTGGGGAGAGAGGGAGAGGATCCGGCGGAGCTCTATTTTGCAGCTCCGCCGGGTTCCTCTCACGAGATCGGGAGCGTTGCCATGGCAACGCCCCGATCTCGCGAGAGTCACCATTGGACCACCAGGGATCGTGTGTGAATGCTGGTCCCCCCCCCCCACCACCACTCACCAGCGTGCCGGACCCCTCCTCCTCCCAGGCTAAAGGTAAGGGGGGATGGGGGGGGGGAGATAATGCATGTGTTTTTGTTTATTTACCCCCTTATTTTTTTTTAATTTGTATATTTATTCCCACTTAGGTTTTTATTTGTTTATTTACCCCCAACACACAACATTTATACTCAGCACTCTCACACTCAGCACACTCAGCACTCACACACATCATACACAGCACTATTACACTCAGCACTCACACACATCATACACAGCACTACACTCAGCACTCACACACATACACAGCACTCACACACATCACACTCAGCACTCACACACATCATACACAGCACTATTACACTCAGCACTCACACACATCATACACAGCACTCACACACATCATACACAGCACTATACACTCAGCACTCACACACATCATACACACTACACAGCACTCACACACATCACACTCAGCACTCACACACATCATACACAGCACTATTACAGCTCAGCACTCACACACATCACACTCAGCACTCACACACATCATACACAGCACTCACACACACATACTGCACCCCTCACATACACACACAACCCCCCGATACACTGCATCACACACATACACAATACTTCCAAACATATTTATATTATATATATATATATATATATTTATATATACACACAGCACCCCTCACACACACACACACACACACACACACACAGCACCCCTAAACACATTTCATTCCAGACACACACTAGATCCTCTACCCAACTCTGTATCATCTACACACACTAGATCCCTATATACACTCTGAATCCATTATATACGCACGCTCACTAGATCTCCCATACGTAGTCTGGGTCCTTCACACACACACACACACACACACACACACAGTCTGGATCCCCTATACGCACACTAGATTCCTTGTAAGCAAACCCATACATTCCCTGAACACACACACACACACACACACACTATAGCCTGTATATACACACACACACACACACACACACACTATAGCCTGTATACACACACTTGCTACATCCCCTATAGACACATTCTCTACAGCCCCTAGCCACATATGCATTACATTACACCACAAACACAACACGACTAAAACCGACATTATTACACAATACCACACCACGACCAGCTCACTCTGCACACACGCAATACCACAAGCAGGCTCCAAACACATGCACAATACTCTTTCCTGGCCCTTTTGTCTCCTGGTATCCATTTATAGAGACACCAGAGACAAGTTGCAAGGAAACACAGTGCAAGCATGTTATTAAATTTGCTTGCACTGCACAGAACAAATACAGGGCTTTTTTCTCATGCTAGAGCTCTTCAGCAGAGCTCTGTGCATGGTCTGCCCTGGAAGAGCATTGAACCAACATGCTCACTTTGAGAGGGCGCGTGTTTGTCATGAGTGATGACAAAACACACCCTCTCTGCCCCGCCCCCTTCTTAATGGGCCGCTGTGATAAAAAAATACCTGGGCCGAATTTTTTCCCCAGTCCGGCCCTGACTGCAATGATCCCATCTCTCAAGTTCACCCCCCACAACTGGAGTGTGACAACCTGACAGACACCGTTGCACCACCCCTTATAATATCGCTTACTAAACAAAGTTCTGCTTCCAAACTCCATAACTAATCATAACATGAATCTAAAGCAGGGGTAGGCAACCTTTGGTACTCTAGATGTTGTGGACTACATCACCCATAATGGTCTTAAAGCCATAATAATGGCAAAGAATTAGTGCATAGTATATATGTATACTGTTTTTTCTCAAAATTATCTGAGTACTGTTTACTAGGAAAGGCTGTTCATATACCTGTCTCTAATAAACCCTCTATTAGAATAGGAAATGTCAGGCTTACTCTGAGAAAGAGATTTGGTTCTGTACATACATTGGGTTTTGTGGGGTGCTGCAATTTTATTATTTGTGCAATATATCTCTAGTCTAGATGGATCGAATATCTTTCACATTGTTTACAAGTTTACTAAGGGGAAACTGTATTCATTGTATCCAGTCTTGCTACTGTGACAAAAAAAATAAACAAACCTAAAAAACTCATTAAAACAATATGGCCTAAATTGCTAAACAATTTAATTCTCAATGTTATAATTTAGTTTTTGATGGTGTTTTCACTCTAAACAGGATACTGCATATCCTTCTGAATTCTGGACACACAATTCCCAGATTTTACTAATAACATGACGTAAAGTCATGATTTTATTAATGACACGGAGGCGAGTATTATGCTATCTCTTTCTTACTTTATTCCTCAGCAGCAAAGAGAAATATAAAACTGAAAGAGAAAAAATGTAGATATAGAATAATAATAATAACAGGTACAACCAGACCTGCCTAGTAACAGGGCAGCCAATCAGCTGAGTAGGAACAGTCCATAAATGCCTTGCTTAGTACTTCCACTTCCTCTTCTTTGCCTTCTGAACCGAAGACCCAAACCAAACTTCCACATCAGGAAAGAACAATCTCCAACAAGGTAGATGTCATCTTAACGAATTCAAGCTGTAAAACAGAGAAAAGGTAGGTAAAATCCAAACTCCGGACCTGCATGTAACATTTCATGACAATCTGGCCTTCAGGACTAAAAAACGTCAGATCGGAACCACATAAGTATATAGATCCAAGTAAGTCAGAGAAAACTGTGAACACTTACCTTGAGGTAAAAGAGCCCCCACCCGATTGAACCATAAGTATAGACCCAAACCATACCCACTGGGTGGGAGGGTGGGAATAATACTCGCCTCCGTGTCATTAATAAAATCATGACTTTACGTCATGTTATTAGTAAAATCTGGGAATTTTATTAATGACACGGAGGCTCCTATTATGCTAGTTTAAAGCTGAGCCATAACTAACGAGGAAACATGGTCAATCGGGCGGAAATAAAAATTGAGGAACGTAGATTCTCTAGACCAATCCGCTGCCTTCAGGATATCATCCATACGACATCCCATCGTGGAGGCCTTAGACGCCATGGTGCCTCTGACCGAATATATTGAAGTGTCAATTCCTGCAGCGGATAGAAGGTTCTTAATCCAACGAGCTAACGTAGTCGAGGAGATCGGGAGAAACGGTTTCTTAAATGAAATAAACAATTGGGATAAATCCGATGACCTCAATAGGTGAGTGCGATCCAAGTACACATGTAGGCAAGTTACCGGACACAGAACAGGTCGGACTGAACACCTAGGGTAGATCACTGACTTAGAAGACGTCTTCATCCTCCTAGAGATGTTAAACGACACTCCCTCGGGGGTGAAGGATAACGCGTTCCAGTCCAAAGCCCTGACATCTGAAACTCTTTTGCATGAAAGGAGACACAGGAGCATAACCAATTTCCAGGATAATTGCTTCAGTGACAGGTCCTCATTAGGAGGCCATGATTCCAAGAAGTCCAGCACCACGTTAACATCCCAAAACTATGAATATCTGGATTTCGGAGGCCTAGAGTAACGAATACCCTTCAAAAACGGCACACAAAAAGATGTTGTCCAATCGGTGATCCGTCAATACCTATATGTCCGGCTGAAATGGCCGATCTATAAACATTGATAGTGCGATAGGCCAAACCAGATTCAAAACGCGTGGTCAGAAAACTGAGCACCTCCTTCAGAGGGGCAGAAAGGGGATCCAGCAGTCTGCCCACGCACCAGCCAGACCACACACGCCATGCAGCCTTGTAAGCTGTTCTGGTCCCCGGTGCCCAGGCATTCTCCAGGAGTCTTGTAGTAGCCTGCGGAACGTCCTAAACACACCAGGGATCCCGGAAATAAACCAAGCCGTGAGCTGGAGCAGGTTCTGGTCCACTAAGTCGTGCGAGTTCCCATCCGGATCCAGAAGCACCTCTGATCGCATCCTGATCATCCGTGGGCACTCCGTCGCCATCTCCAAAAGGCGTGCAAACCAAGGCTGAGTCTGCCATAGGGGAACTATCACCACCAACGTGCATTCTTGTCTGGACAAGTATGCCAGCGTCCGAGAAATCTGGTTGAAAGGGGGAAACGCAAAGTGACGACCCCGAGGCCATAGCTGCAGGAACGCGTCCACCGCCGTGGCTGATGGATCCGGTCTCCAACTGAAGTACTGGGGTAGTTGAACGTTCAGTCTGGATGCGAACAAGTCCAGTTGTAACGGGCCCCATAGTCGATCTGTCGGAAGATCGAAGGTAACAGATGCCAATCTCCGGAGTCTTTCAAGTATCGCGAATTCCAGTCCGCCCATTCGTTGTCCAAACCCGGGATGTGTTCGGCCGTGACCGACACAGCGCTGTGGAGGCAGAACTGCCAGAAATCCGTCGCTAGATTCGCCAGTTGTTTTGACTTCGTGCCACCTAGGTGATTTATATATCTGACCGCGGACACATTGTCCATACGCAGAAGGACGCAGCAGTGTTCCAGGGTTGGAGACAGGCTGCGAATAGCGAACGATCCCGCCAGCAATTCCAGACAGTTGATGTGTAGCTTTGATTCGATTTCGGACCATCTGCCACCTGTGGAGACATCTCCACAGCGAGCGCCCCAGCCATGCAGGCTGGCATCCGATTCTATCACCATGTCCAGGGCGGTGCCGAAGATTGCTCGACCATTCCATGCCTCCATATGATCCAACCACCATTGAAGTTCCTCCTTGGAGTCTCTGTCCAGGCATAGTTCGCTTTCGTATGAACTGCCCGAGCGAAGAGGGCATAGGGGGAGACAAAAGATCCAGGCGAAAGCCTCTGATAGTATTTAACACCGACACATCCGTGGTGATCATGCCCCACATATCGGGAAACAAAGCCAACCTGCCTCCCACACTCGCCCGGAGAGAAAAACCTTTTTGAGTACTCACCGTAAGGGCGTCTGTATGAGGGTTGGCCACATCCTCCCCGATTCTGCCATGTCCTCCCGCAGGAGGGAAAGAAGGGAGCGGGTTTGTAGTCCTGATAGGCCCGAGGGGCAGCAAAGGAACCTCTTTGAGTCCATGAGGGACCTCGATTTCCACGGCCGGGCGGACGGCTCCTATATCTCCCGGCCCTGTTGGGCCTTATCTAGGGTGGTGAAGGTGCGCACAAAGGAGCCCAAGTCTTTAACAAAAGACTCACCAAAGAGCATGCCTTTAGCGGCAGCGCCCGGTTCCTTGACCGCAAGGTTAACCAGTTTAGGTTCGATTTTAAGCAGGATCGCCTTGCGGCGTTCGGCTGACATAGCCGTGTTAGCATTGCCAAGTAGGCAAATCAATCTCTGGACCCAACCTATTGCTACATTGAAATCCAGGGGGTATCCCCTGTTTTAGCCGTCTCCAATAGCTCATAAAGCTTAGTCACGGGACCTAGAGTGTCCAAAATCTTGTCCTGGCAATTATGGAGTGAAAACTCCAAACCCTTTCTGGGTTTCCAGCCCATTTTTATCAGGAACTGTGAGATCTGAGGGTCAACCTCTGGCGTCTTACATGCCGCATCAGGCACTGAGGGCCTTGGGCATTCGGCCCATAACTTACGGCGCCCTTCCTTGGATAATGGGGTACACATACAAAGCGCTAGATAGCTAGCTATATGCTCGGGCGGGTCCCATTCTGCCGAGCGAGGGTGGCGAAGGTCATCAGGGGGTAACCCTGCGGATCGCATATGCCTTGTTCCTCCCTCGGAGGTAACGCCGAAGCGTCAGACCGCGCCTCCGCGTCGGAGTCCCCTTCCTCATAAGAGGCGTAGTCGGGGGTGTCCGAACCTGTCTCCCCACTTGGATCTGAATCAAACCCGTCATTGTCATGGGCACGCGCCCTTTTCCACTTTCTGGCCGATTTTGCCTGGCCAGCGGCTCTCTTGCGCGGTAACGCGCCATCTTGGACGGCCATAGGCACGTCAGTCAGGGCAGGTACCACCTGTGTCATATCGGGGGAGACATGATTAGTTTTGGCATATGCCTTGCGGCTGACCTGAGGTTGCAGCGCAGGCCGGGGGCTTGCCAACATAGGAGAAGCCAGGGGCTGAGTAAGGGCCTGTTGTATAGTGTGAGACAGCGATGATGAGACTGTCCCCATGGCAGAGGCCAGGGCCCTCTGCATAGTAGAATCAATAAGGGCCTGGAACTCCTGAGAGGGGGCGAGACCCCCTTCACCTGAGATAGGGGCCTTAAAGGCTTCCATGGTGGGGTAGCTGGGACAGCCAGAATCATCACCCTTAGCATGCATAATAGACAGGAAGGTAAATAAGCTTGTGGATAAAAAGGGGTATGTCCCTTTAAATATACACAGATAAAATATTAAGCCACAATAAATATTATGGGAGCCAGGCCACCAGTCTCAGAATACAATGTTATAATAGTATGATGGAGTAAAAACCTAAACTACAGGGGTTGAGTAACCTACAAAGCAAATACCTGTGGAGAAAAAACAGGGGTGAAGGGAGCCGACCGCCGGATCCGCCAGCAGCCACACGTGTGAAAGAAGATGGCCGCCGCGTGCAGAGCATGCCGTGTCCCCAAGCTCCTCCCCCACCAATGGACGGGGAGCTCGCTGGAAAAAACACACGAGGCCGGAGGTAGAGCGGGTCACCGCACGCGGCCGCACATGCGGTCGCGAGGGGAGTAGGGAGGGCGGTCAGGGAGCACCTCAGCTCCCGAGAAAACCGCTTCCCCAGTGATCCGCGGTCCCTGTCTGTGCACACAAAAGGTACAGCACAGGCAGGGAGACCGTGCAAAGCAGGGGAAGAAACAGACACCCAAAAGGGGTGCCAAAAAACATCAAAGCAAAACACAGAAATCATATAGGGTGCACAAAGCAGCATACAAGTACATAATACATTAAATATATCAGTAGATAAACCCATAAAAACAATCCAAGATTAAAATATACAGGAGTGAAATTAATACTTAGCTGGTCTGAGGACAGCAGCAAAGAAAGAGGAAGTGGAAGTACTAAGCAAGGCATTTATGGACTGTTCCTACTAAGCTGATTGGCTGCCCTGTTACTAGGCAGATCTGGTTGTACCTGTTATTATTATATATCTACATTTTTTCTCTTTCAGTTTTATATTTCTCTGTGCTGCTGAGGAATAAAGTAAGAAAGAGATAGCATAATAGGAGCCTCTGTGTCATTAATAAAATTACAATTTAAGCACAATTCTCCACATTATTGTCTGGCTTAATGTATCTCCAGTCTCACTTGATGAATCTCTAAATTTGAGGCATGAATTTGAGGTCCAATCATTATACTGAAAATATAACTACTTAAATATATATAATGGTTATTAGATTAACTAAGTTACAATATGTTTCTTACCATTGTTGGTTTCTTTTTAGGATCCAGCAGCGGGATATCACTGAGCGTCTGTAGCTGATCCTGGACACTCAGCAGTTCTTTCAGATGTATTTTATTTGAGCCAAAATTGCTGGAAATTAACATGAGACCGAGTAAAAGCAATTAGACTTGGCAGAGCTAAGATAGTACCTTTCATGTGCTGCCAGAGAGCATATGGAATGCATGTGTGTTAAGTAGGCATTGCTAGGACGGTAAAAAAACATAATTAGATCACTCTTAAAGGGGGCATTTACTAGGATGGTAAAAACACATATTTTGATTATGTATAAATTCAATAAACCTCCAAGAAAATAATATATCTTCACACTACAAATAATCCACTTAAATTACATTTAAATCAATTATATTACATACAATATAATATATAACAATTAATTAGTAGAAGACTGAATAAACCTAGAGTCTCTTAAAGTTGTAACTAGAATCTCCTTAAGCATGGTTTGGAAAAACAATCCAGTTAGTTTCTTAATTTTTGTGCACCGTCCGTTAATTGGTTTACCCTCTTATTATAGTTCACATACCCTCCCAATCCTAGCACTTTATTTATATAGACTTTTACCTGTGAGTACCCTCAGGGGTTCAAACCTCTCCTCTTACATGCCATCTCTCATTATTCCTCATATGTTCCGTCCTTCTCATGGTACCTCTCAACCCATTCATTTCCTTCCTTTTATCCTATATCTGATATCTCATCCAATCTCCCGTGCTTCTCACATCTGATACCATATATTAAGTTCCGTTTTTATGCCATCGTACTTGAATTTCCCTTCTTTATTTTCATGCTACCCTCAATGTCACCAACCTGCCCCCCTATTTCCTCAGTCCCCTTTTCTAGCCGTATATCCATACTTTTCATTTCCTGTGACTTTCCTTGTCAGGCCATCTTTACACACTCCTTTTAATTTAAGCTCTATGTTTTCATTTCAACTTCCACTCCAGAAAAAAAGTTGTTTACCATGCCACAAAGTATAAAATAATAATTCAAAGAAACTTGGGAAAGTTGGTTGCAGCCACTTCCTAAGGGCTAATGTTTTTAATGTGTCCAACTTAGATGTCATATATGTAGTAAATAAATGTCATCACATGTAGAGAAAGTTAGATGATACTTACCTCACTTCGCCATTATACGTTCCATGCACTTCAAGTTCAACATGGGATTGGCTGTCAAGTACGAATCCCTCCAATGACCACTCAAATGTCTATAAAGAAAAAAACTTTAAAAGTTAGCAGGCCATGCACAAATCTCACATGTCTTTTTTTATTTTTAAAATTTTTGTTATCCATTCAACAGAAACAATATAACCTGTGGAAACAGAAGGAATCCAGTTGATTTACACTCTTAGTATATATAAGAGCTATACATGCTGAGTAGATAAAGGAAAGGGAGATGTATAACTAGCTTACATTAAGATTCTAAAACATAGCACTCTAATAAGCTAAATAGAAAATATCTTCAGGGAAAAGCAAGAGGTGGTAAGTATATTGCTAATAAGTATACAGATACATGATAAAAGTAAAACGCTTAATTAAATATAAAAATACAATAATTCTTGGGGGGTGGAGCCGAGCAACGGAGCAGACTGGTCGCATGGAGAGAGAGCTCCTGCACATTAACGATTATTTTTTCCTATTTTGGGCTACAAAGTCCGATCTGCACAGCTGCAGGAACTTGGCTGGAGACAGGGAGGCAGAATGGGTCGAAAGACCAAAAAACAAAACAGCCGCAGACAGGACTTAGCATAGGAGATCTCCTGCGGCAAGCAAATAGGGCAGCTGGGCCCAAGATGGCCATCTATCTGGAGACATACTCTGAAGTCTCAGACGACTTCTCTAATGAAGATGAGGCTGTACACTTAGCTATCAGGCCTAACCCAGCACCAGCTCTCTCAAGCCCAGACAACTCACCTGTCACAACCACAATCCTTAAGACATTACTGGCAGATCTACAGAGAACAATCCAGTCTGATGTAGCTGTACTTCGCTCTGATCTACAGGGTCTGATGGGACGGCTAGGGGTTCTGGAGTGTACTTCCAGGGACTGTGTAAACCAGCTTGTGTATCTTACACCAAGTTGTCCAGGGTCTTCCAGGGTCTTCAACGCCAAAACAATGCTTCTGATCGACGCTTTGCTGTATTAGTGGATGTATAGTGCAAAAATAACTTAAAGATTCAGGACATCCCAGAAGATATACTGGCGGCTGAAATACCGCACGTCCTACGGCATCTCCTGGCAGAGCTACTATCTCCGGAGGTACAATGGCCTGGCAAAGATCTCGTAGGCCATTCACATTACTCCTCAGGAAGCAAATTATGCAATACCGGTGGCTCGCGGCAGGCTCACTACTGGTTCTTCAGGGCAAAGACAAGCATCTGGTACAAGATCTGCAGGGGGCATCTGTTTTACTGCCTAAGCTGGGCAAGACCGCTATGCCCAAGTTGCCACCTGAATATTTTACTGTGTTTAGCAGTGGTCTTCTATTATTAGTTAGGTTATGTTTCACTCTATGTTCCACCATTTACCCTATCTCATTTATAACAGATACAACTAAGTGTAGCTCTCTTACCCCATGGATCGACTGTTCTCTGGACCAAACTAACATCTGAATTGTCACTCTTTGATTTGAGACAGCAAGGTTTAATTTTTGTATATCACCGGGAACATCACATACTTAATGGCTTCTGACACAATGACATTATGCTATGTCTGTGGATTTACCATTTATATTATGCTGAGTCTGTAACGACTGCAGATTTAGCTTAGACAACAATTGAGCCAACGATGTATCCCATTTGAACCAATGTTATTATAACTTTTGTTTCTACAAAAAATAATTGAATCTCTTGTCTGAAATGCGTAACATATGTCTGAATATCACGTTGATATGTCTGTCATGGTTTATACCTTTCTTTTTTCCTTTCTGAGCTGAAACTAAAAGATCATGGTGTTATCAGGGATGGAAAACATCAATGCTCCAATGAAGGACTGGGCGATACATGAAAATATACACTGATAACAGAGAAGTTAGCCCCTACCTCACCCAGTCTTCGAGTCAGTCAATGCATCTGCAAATTATAGTTTCATGAATGGTTCTGGAGGTTTGATGAGACAGAAAGGGCCGTTATTTGCTAGGAAAGACAGCAGGTGACTCATGCTCTTCACTTGAAGTATACAAACCAAGCATCTGGAAGAAGCCATCAGGTCCTCTTTAGACAGTAAGTTGTATTGCTCACCAATGTGTGTGGATGTAAAGCCTCATTTTGGACCCCACTTATTGGATACCCCTTTATCATGTAAAACTGAAGTTATCAGTGAATATCTCCTAAACTACTGTTAAGTCTGATATGGTAAGTCTTACGCTCTCAGTGACTTCCATTCACTAAACAGGTTCAGAAAGAAACATACTTTTCTCAAGCCAGTTCAGTGAATGGGGAGTAACTTATTGGCTAAAAGCGGCAGCTCTCCACTCAGTCAATCTGTGTCACCCCTGCCTGGCGGCAATCCGTGCTTCCTGAATCTGAAAATTCAAAAGCCGGATGACTAGTGGAGGAGTGGACATGGCCATTAAAGGCAACTTAGGGGTTAAACAATGTGGGAATGGTTTAACCTATTGATGTAAGAGTGCCTTCAGGGACCTCCTGGAATCATTACAACTTTATTTAGAAGTTGCTTTGGTGCCTGGAGTGTCCCTTTAATGTTAACACAGATCCGTGAGTAATTAAGGAGCTAAATGTGGTAATAATCCCATTGTGGGACCACACACCTGACTGGCACAGACATACGAAATTCCTGTGTGGGCAACACAAGCGCGAATATGGTGAGCCCTGTGTGCGGCCCGCCTTTTGAATTCCAAAGATCATTTTGACCTTTCAGGATACTTTTATTTCAAGAATTGTACCAGAGGATTGCAGAAAGACAGATGTGATTCCTATATTCAAAATTAGTTCAAAATCTATGCCTGGAAATCATAGACCTGTGAGCTTAGCTTCTGTGGTTGGGAAAGTGTTGGAAAGGTTATTATGGGAAAATATTCAGGAATTCATTGTGAAGAACAATGACAATAGCAAAAATCAGCAAGATTTTATGAAACATAGATCATACAAAACTAACTTAATTGCATTCTATGAAGAAGTAAGTAAAAATATAGAACAGGGTGTTGCAGTGATTGTGATGCATTTGGATTTTGCCAAGGTGTTCAAAATGGTTCTACACAAAAGGTTAGTGTTTAAATTAAAAGAATATGATCTAAATGAAAATTCTTGTTCTTGGGTAGAACATGGGCTTAAAGATATAGAACAGAGTACAGTCATCATTAATGATAATTTTTCAAGCCAGACCCAAGTGGTAATGTGTGTATCTCAGGGTTCTGTTCTGAGTCCACTTCTATTTAATATATTTATACATTATAAATCTTGATATAGGCAAAAACATAATATTCAGGGATATCATTTTTAATAATACAATAGATAAAAATACTACACCAAACAGCAGAATAAAATAGATGTTTTTAAACTGGAACAATCTAAAAGAAAAAAGTACAATACATAGTGTAGACGGTACACATAAAAATGAGCCCCTATATAGGATATAACTTACAGGATGTAGAGCCATCCCAGGCTCTATATAGTAGGCTTGAGGGTGCCTAAGAAGGCTAAATCGACATCCTTGAATGAGAACAGCACAATGTTGGATTAAAATACAACATAAATGTATTAATTAAAGTGTAAAAAGGGACAATTAAACAGCGATAAGTATATAAGGCATTAGCCCGGGGACACCGCAATAAAATAAGAAAGTCCCAAAGTCAAACATAAATAAAGCATAAAGCAAACAGCAGACACGTTTCAACTCCTACTGGAGTCTTCCTCAGTGCTGAAATGCCTTCTCCCCGGTTGGAATATATACCGGCTGCAAATCTAAGGAAAACCTATCCATATGGATAATAGTTGAATCTGTGGTGTTCTATGTACATAGAAAAAAGAAAAAAGAAAAAATGAATAAAAAATGAAAAAATGAAAGAAATATGAAAAATAATGAAAAATTGAAAAAATATAAAAGAGAAAAAAATTAAAAATAAAAAGCGTACAGATAGTAAATGTCCTGATGTACAATAGTCCAGAGAATAGTGCACTTTATATAATAAATAGGTGGATCTCACCAAGTTGAATATCCAGATGGATTGTAGCCTTAGTAGCAACTGGAAAAAATGAAGAATCTGTGAAGTGTCTATTGGAGGATTTTAAACTGCTGAATTCCTGCTGTACGCTGAAAAAAGGACTCAATAAAGGTGTCAGATGTGGTCCTCATATGTCTCCCTCAAAGTTGTTGCTGCTGTGTATCAAATCGGAGTTGTCCGCAATGAAAGTGTCGTCACAGTACATGGGCTGCGCGCTCGGGACATCCACGTCCCTTCGAAGGCCCCCAACTCTGTACACTTTTTATTTTTATATTTTTTCAATTTTTCATTATTTTTCATATTTCTTTCATTTTTTCATTTTTTATTCAATTTTTCATTTTTTATTTTTTCTTCTTTTTTCTATGTACATAGAACACCACAGATTCAACTATTATCCATATGGATAGGTTTTCCTTAGATTTGCAAACAGGAATCCTCACAACTGTGTTTATATATCAATTATTTATCTATATAACACCTATGGAGGTTATTTTTGTAAATAGCGATTGACTATATGATGTAATATATTCATTGATTAAATTATAATCTCACATATTAAGTTATATACCTAGACATCAAAGAATTGAAAATAATAAATTCAATTACAGTACTTCTTTATCTACGGTTGATTATTTTACAACATTGAGTGCGGTATTCATATATATTTTTTGTATGATATTTATGGGGCTTTTTTAGGGATAACCTCGAATACCAGCACCACCTATGTGATTGAGTGCCAGCATAAATTATCTTTTTGTATATATACCGGCTGCATCAATCTTCAATCTGCACAGCTGTGTGGCTTCCTAATTCCGGCGCAGCATTATTTTTAAAAGTCTCGGAATAGAGTTTAATGTCGCCTCTTTGTGGATGGAGTTTAATTCTTATCAGAAATCATGTCCCCATTGTAGGAGGCCGGGTCAACAAAAGAATGCTTTTCTAATAATCCTGAGTTTGCATATATGAACTGCAGTAATTTAGATTGCACTCGTGGAGGCTTATGGAACAGCCTCCACCAGTGCATATGGAAAACAAGAACAGTTCCAAATTGGAGTGATGAGAACAATTTCCATCAGCTATTTTAATTCCATGCAGGCAGAGTTTAGTAACTTTTAAAAAAAAGCCCAATTCACACAACTCCTTCAGGCTTCAGGAGATAGGAAAACTCAAGAAACTGCATAAAAGCTCATATAACCTGGGGCATTTAAGTGCACTCATGACTGCTCACAGAGACCTATCTAAGCTTCTGAATGCATCATATCACACTGTTACTCTGCAAAAGAAGACATTTTTCTACTCCAATGCCAAACAATTTTGGATCTTTGTTTGCCCGCATGATAAACAATAAGAGAGTAGCTACATATATCCCTAAAATACACACAGACTGAAACCAATTTCATTACATGCCTGATAAGATTACAGACGCTCCATAGCTACTATTCCAAATTGTATTTTCCAACAGATCCAATGACACAGATGGGAAGGAACTCCCACCTTTCCAAGGTTTGGGACAATTTGCGCAGAAATGTATAGGCACACCTCTCTGATAAGGTAACACAACTTCTTCACAAACCTCAGATGGAGTATGAACTAGCCTTAGCCCTCAAACACACTATACCGGGAAAATGCTCAGGTCCAGATGGATTTAACTCCTAAATGACAGAGAATTGAGCAGTGAGACTGCAGGGGCATGATCTATTCACAAAAACTGCTCCATTAAGCTAAAGTTGTTTTGGTGATTATAGTGTCCCTTTAAGATGTAAACAGCAAATTTAACTTGTACATCTAAAATAGTTATTTTTATTTCATGATGTTTACCAAGGATCATCCTGCATGTGCCTTCCCAATTTCCTGAATAGTTTGAAATTTGAGTTGTGACATCAAGTGTCTATGTTGGGCAAAATGCCTAGTCACTGGATATTGCATTTTGTTTGTTTGTATTGTACTTTTATGTTCCCTTATTCTAACAGAAAGTTTAAAAGGGATATCCTTAGTAAGTGCAGATTGGCTCTTATAGCACTATCCATAGAAGGCATTGAGGAGGGGTTGGAGGTCCTTAGGCAAGAGACTGGAATTACAGTGGATATTACTATGGATATTATAAAGAATATAGAAATGTCTGATTCATTCAGGAAATGTACAGAGGAAATCAAAATCACCTTCTCTAAAAATCAATCTGAAACATTGAATAGAAAAGTTTAAAAGGGAAATAAATGACTACTACATGGATAACAAATATTACAATTGCCAATTGTTAAGACATAGGGTTCAAGCGATGGGACATCTTGCAGGCCTCTTGTCTGTATACAGTATTTATACTGGCAGACATTGTGTTAAGATAGAAATTAAAAGTATATACTGTAAGTCACCATCAGAACAGAGGTGACTCCATTTTGTATTACAAGGCTAAGACAGACACAAATTTCTCTTTCTGTAACTCTATTCATTCAGGTCTGAGCTAAGGAATGCGACTTACATAAACATTAGAAATAAAATCTATAAGGCATGATGTCTAACAGCAAAAGGGGGGTTGAATGCAACAACCCAGAGACAAATATATATACACAATATCCACATACAACTTACTATATTATATTAATCATATATAAATAGTACTAAGTTAATAATATAGAATATTCATGGATATAATAAATCAAGAAATGTCATGTTATTTACTAACGTTAGTGGAATATGTGTAATAGACATATATAAATAATACTAACTACACAGTTTCATACAAGAGAAACAGACACTAATGGCAGATAACACTAAATAATTAATTTTACTTTCTAGAAAAAAAAACACCCCAAAAAAACCAGAACCTTACAAAGTTGCATTGTAAGAAAGGGTGAAATTAAGGTTAGGATGTGCCAATTCTAAAATTACGACTGAAAAACCAGACGCCTGGGGGCGGGGCCTGACCTTCATGGAGAGAAGTCGCATGTCGGCTGAGCTCCGAGCTGAAAGCGGCAAAAACCTAGCAAACGACTATAAAATAGACGGTGCACTGTTGAAAACTAAGCATCCCCCTGCACAACAATATGGGGAAACGATCAAAAAAGCTGAAAGCATCCTCGGACGACGGCACACGTTGAATAGGAGACATATTCCTGGCGAGGCCTAAAACCAAACACAGTAAAGAAGGAAACTATATTTAAAAGAAGAAAAACTACCACAACAATTGGACATAGTCTTAAATTAGAGGGACAAAGGTTTAAAAATAATATCAGGAAGTATTACTTTACTGAGAGGGTAGTGGATGCATGGAATAGCCTTCCAGCTGAAGTGGTAGAGGTTAACACAGTAAAGGAGTTTAAGGATGCATGGGATAGGCATAATGCTATCCAAACTATAAGATAATGCCAGGGACTAATGAAAGAATTTAGAAAATTGGGCAGACTAGATGGGCCGAATGGTTCTTATCTGCTGTCACATTCTATGTTTTTATGTTTCTATGTGAATTGTCAGAAATTCAAAATAAATTACAACTTCTTTTTTGCAATCTTTTTTTTTATTTAGATACTATTCAGCCTTACAACATTATCAGCAATAACAAAGAGAAAGTCCCTGTGTCAATAAACATTAATAGAAATGTGCACCAGTGAAATTTTCGTTTCGTACGAATGAATTCGTACTAAATAAAAATTTCATTAGTCCATTCTGAATTTCGTCCGTAAACCATTCGTTTTCGGATGAAATTCAGTAAACAAAATGATTTGTTTTCGTCAGATTAAGCAAGGAGGGAGTCGGCAGCGCTACCACCTCCCTCCTTGTAATATATAATATTAATTCCGATCTCCCCTACACCCCCCCATTAAGCCTAATTTTCCCACGCTGTGTAAAATGACACAGAGCACTTTGATTGGTTGGATTCCAAGCCAACTAATCAGAGCGATGTGACAGGTAAATGTAGAGACTTACCTGGCAGTCTCTTCATTTACCTGTCAGAGCACTCTGATTGGTTGGCTTGGAATCAACCAATCAGAGCGCTCTGAGACAAATTGCAGGGCGTGGGAAGGCTTTATAAGCCTTTTCACTGCCCTGTGGAGCTCAGTCTGTGCAGTGCCCTCGCTTGGTGAAGATGGATTCTTTTTTGGGGCGTTGGGATTTTCTTCTGTGGTATGTGAGGTAGGGGTTAGTCTTGGAGACCATAAGCTTTCCTAAAGAGATGGGTTTTAAGGCACTTCTTAAAAGATGCAAGACTAGGGGAGAGTCTGATGGCGGGAGGCAGGCTATTCCATAGGAAGGGAGCCGCCCGCGAGAAGTCCTGCAAGCGCGAGTTGGCCGTACAGGTGCGGACAACGGACAGGAGGTGGTCACAGGCAGAGCGGAGAGACCGAGAAGGGACATACCTATGGATCTGTGAGGAGATATAAGAGGGGTTAGAGTTGTTCAGTGCTTTATAGGTGTGAGTTAGTGCCTTGAATTGACTCCTATAGCACACAGGAAGCCAATTTAAGGACTGGCAGAGGGGTGCGGTGTGAGAGAACCGACTAGAGAGGAAAATCAGTCTAGCAGCAGCATTCATTACAGACTGTAGGGGTGCAGTACGGCTTTTGGGAAGACCAAGCAGGAGAGGGTTACAATAATCCATGCGGAAAATTATTAGAGCATGGACAAGCTCCTTGGTAGTATCTGGTGCGAGAAAGGGGCGGATGCGGGCTATGTTTTTAAGATGGAATCTACAGGATTTGGCAACATGCTGGATGTGAGGCTCAAAGGTGAGACCAGAGTCAAGTATGACGCCAAGACAGCGCGCTTGCAAGGATGGGCTGATGTGGGTACCACAAACTTGAAGGGAGAGTGAAAGAGGAGGATCAGTATTAGGAGGAGGAAAGACAAGGAGCTCAGTTTTTGAGAGATTGAGTTTCAGAAAGCGGGAGGACATCTAGTCAGAGATGGAAGAAAGGCAAGCAGTGACACGTTGCAGGACAGCAGGGGAGAGGTCCGGGTAGGAGAGATATAGCTGGGTGTCATCAGCGTACAGGTGGTAGTGGAATCCAAATGAGGTAATAAGTTTGCCAAGAGAGGCAGTATAAATAGAAAATAGAAGGAGACCAAGGACGGAGCCTTGGGGGACTCCAACTGAGACAGGGCAAGGGGAGGAGGTATACTTAGAAAAAGAGACACTGAATGAGTGAATGAGCGTTGGGAGAGATAAGAGGAAAACCACGAGAGGACAGAGTCACAGAGACCAAGCGATTGCAGAGTTTGAAGAAGGAGAGCATGATCAAAGGTGTCAAAGGCCGCTGAGAGGTCAAGAAGAATTAGTATGGAGTAGTGGCCTTTGGATTTAGCTGCGATTAGGTCGTTAGTAACTTTGATAAGGGCAGTCTCTGTAGAGTGGAGAGGGCGGAAGCCAGATTGAAGGGGGTCAAGGAGAGAGTTGGAATTGAGGAAATGAGACACACGGGTAAAGACAAGTCTTTCCAGAAGCTTTGAGGAAAAAGGGAGCAGGGATATGGGACGGTAGTTAGAGGGGGTGGACGGGTCGAGGGATGGTTTTTTTAGTATAGGTACTACAGTGGCATGTTTAAGGTCAGCAGGGATGATGCCAGAAGAGGGGACAAGTATGGTTTTTTATTTGGCTCCACCAGCATCAGCCCTCAACTGATCTGACTGCTCCTGGTGCCTGTGATCGGTATCTTGGAAGGGAGCTTTCACTTGATATTGACGGTTGTAGACCCTTCAAGGATTTGGGCCATATCCAAGGTTTCATTCCGAAGGCTCTCAGCCTGAGTATGTGGCAATAGGCTTTGGACATCCTGGAAAATTGGATTGAAAAAAATAACCAGTTTGGGAGCATTTCCAGGTGTCCATGATCAAGTGAGTAGAGTAGCTATGGTCATTGTGTGGGCTAGACCATCCGATGAGTGAGGGACACGCTGCTGTAGTCTCTGAGGAAGGGTATGATACAGCTCTTTTGTCTTTGACAGCTGTCCGCTTAATATCAGGCAAAATGAGTCAAACAGTTTGCCCAATTGAGACATAACATTATGTGGCAGGCCACTGGGATGGAAGGAACATGTGGCATCTGTCATCTTAGGATGGCCTGTACAGAAGACAATGCATCACTCAGATGTTGATAATGCTTCGGGGTTACCAGTGGTAACTTATTAGAACTGAGTGCAGCATGCTGGGATAAACCCTACCATGCTGCATCTTCTGACTTCAGGGCAAATGTGAGCGGAGAGATTCTCCACTTCTCCCACATACAGATTTTCAGTCAGACCCAAGGAAGGCCTCCAGAGCCTCCTGGCAGAGGCTGCTCAAAATATTTGGAAATGTCTATCAATGAGTCTGCAGGTAGAGAGGGTATCCCCTGTAGCTTGAGTGGCCATTGTCTCAGGTATAAAGTCGTATAAATGGTCAGAAAACATCTTTTTAACAAAGATGCAACTAATCAGCAAGGCACTCAGGCCACGCCGCCCCAGAATTCCAACTTTTCACCCTCTAAAGATTAGTTTATGTCATCTTGTCTTTAATTATATGGTCGATACGATGATATTATGCAAGGTACAATATACACACTGCTTCTGGTGTACTTAGTAAAGCATTGTACATTGTGTAATATTCTATATATAACAACAGCAAAATAAACAAAGTGCAATAAATATGTAACATAAAAGACAATGTCATATTGAATAGAAAGGAGTAGGAAGATGGAATCTAGTTGTATTCCTAGCGCCATAGTGTTCCTTTAAGGTTAGAGAGGGGATAATGTTAGAGTTTAAACACGTTTGTAACACTACAGGTGTTAACTATTAAGAAGATTAACAGCTTGACAGGGGTTAAAGTTGTAGTATGCAACTTTAGAATTTTTGCATTTTGTGCTAGAGTTGGGTTACAGGTGTGTGACAGAACCCCAGTTGTTTGTGTATTCCCCCTTGTGATGGACTGCCTAGCACCCCAACCGGGTACCTCTGTCAATCACTGCTTCCTAGTACTTGCGAGTAGCATCAGCACTGCACTGGAACACCATAACCACCGTAAACCCCACGAACCGCCGCAGCTGGTTGGGGTCTCGCCGTCCTCCACCCAACTTGGACTCAAGACCAGAATTCCAGTGGGTAGGCCTCTCTTAGTCCAGAGAGCGTAGTAGGAACAGCTCTTACAAGAGCTTAGTGATTATACTCAGGGGAGTATAGTGATTATAGCAATCCCCAGAGTGTATGTAGTTCCTCAATCCCCAAACATGATTCTAAACTTTATGAAGGGTAGAACAAGTCTGTTTAATGGAAGCCAAAACTGGCCTTTTATGCAAGTTTTCCAACTAGGTTGACGCCCAGGTGGACCTTGTTGGGCACAGGGACACAAAGTGTACAAGCCAATAGAAACAAACAATGTAACAATGAATGACACTCCCACATAAAGTACACAATTCCCTCCACTCTGCCTGTGATATAATTAAGGCAGATAATACATTAACTTAATTATCCCCAGGCAGAAAAAACACGCATATAAAGTCTAATAAAGCATATCCCCATATAGTCACATATAGCCCTGATTGTAATGACATGAAGGGGTGCTGCCCTGCAACAGCACTGTCCCTTTAAATGTGGGAACCACTATAGCAAAGAAATAAATGCCAAGACACAAATGAAATAGGTTAAATCAAGAAATATATATTTACAGGGAACCAAAGCGGAAAGTAAAACAAAAATATATACATACACAGACAAGGCCACAAAATATATACACTATAAATCAAAATAACGCCGAATCGTGCAGGCAACAAATACTGTAACAGTCCGTTGGTATTAGGGTAGGATTGTGCAGCTACCACGGGTATCAGGTAGGGCACAGATCCAAAGTCACAAGACTAATGTAGTGACAACAAGAACGAATAAATCAGCAAGGCTGCAGGGACAGGATCGCTGGTAGTAAATCAGAGACCACGGAGCCAGAGCACTGGATCGGAGGACACAGCAACGAAGGACCAGGAGAACACAGTAACGCAGGATCAGGAGGACACAGGATGAAGACCAAGTCACAGTATGCAGGAGCCAGGAACACAGGAGACCAGGGAAACAGGAAACAAAAGGTAATGATCTGGCAAGGAGTGAGGGGAGAAACCAAACTAAATAGGTGCTAAACAAGGACCAGGTGAAGTGCTTAATGAAAATAAATCAGAAACAGTGCCAAACAGAAACAGTGGTGAGTGTGAGTACTGCACAAGGGCAAATCAACTAAGTAGTGTCGTGACACTGATAGCCCTGATCTGGGTGAACAACATATCCAAAAAATCACCCAGATCAGAGCAGGGGTTCAGAAAATTCCTGGAAGTCTCTTTTTGACCCACTGTCCACATGGTCCCATGCCCAAAACAGTTCCAGAGAATTAGGGCTAACGGTTGGTCTCTCTGTCTGGAGTACAAAAGTACATACTTCACATGAACAGAGCCTTTTAAAGTTCATTTGGCAAGGTATATTGTAGGGCCCATAGTCCTGAGGCAATAGGCTGGCTAACAGGCCCTCCAAGAACCCTTGACGAGGTTCAGCTTGTCACAGGGCCATAATCACAGGGTAGGAGGCTGGCAAACAGGCCCCTCCAAAAGCCAGTGACGAGGTTACTTTCGTCACATATCTTCCCTCCCAAAGGGAGACTAACGAGGTACCTGACCTCCTGTTGGTCAATACCTGAGTTAGTCGAGCAACCCACCCACAACCAAGTACTTGATCTGTAGCTCTCAGGTGTCCAGCTTTATCCTGTCTGTCCCGTGCTGCAAAGGGGGTGTCTGATACTCCTGGTCTCTCGGTTGCATTTCGGTTTGCAGTTGGGGACAAGGGGAAGGGCAGAGGCCAACTGCGCTCTTCCCTGTTGCCAGCACTTCTGCTGGAGTGGCCTGCGGGTATTCAGGCCCGGAACGAAGGGAAAGAGGGGCCAGCTGCTCTCTGGCCAGATGCCAGCTCTTCCACTAGGTTGGCTGGTACATAGTCCTGTAACAAGGGGGCAGGTAGGGCAGAGGCCAGCGTCGCTCTGCCCTGATGCCAGCTCTTCTGCTTGGATGGGATCAGTGAATACTACCCCCAGGACCTGGTTGAGGCTCCGCTGAGGAGGGGAGGGATCGCCTACCTCCTCCTGGCATTTCTGCGGGGTTGGTTGGGGATCTGGACTGGCCGTCCAGCATCCCTGTAGGTTTGGTCCAGCATCCCTGTAGGTTTGGTGCAGATAGCTGTCCCTCTGTAGTTGGGGCAAGGGACTAGCTGTCACCCCTTCAGGTATATCTGGCTGCCGCTGAGGAGGGGGACCGACTGTCTCTACTCCCTGTGTTGCACACTGCCGCTGGGGAGGGAGACCAACCGTCTCCACTACCAATAACTTGCCCTGCCACTTGGGAGAGAGACCGGTTGTCTCCTCTCCCTTGTCAGTATATTTATATCGGCAGATATTTTGTATTAAGACAGAAATTAAAATTGTATATTGCCAGAGTCACTCAGAACAGAGCTGACTCCATTTTGTATTTCAGGCAAAACAGACACAGAATTTCTTTCTTTCTGTAGCTCTATCTATTCAAGCCTGAGCTAAGGAATGCGTTATGTAAACAAGACAAGTGATAAAGAATGAAGTCTCACAGCAAGGATGTGGGTTGGAATACTAACCCAGAGACGAGTATATACATTATTATTTGTAGTCTGGGCCATTTCAGTATAGTATGAAATAGCTAGTGAGTATACTTATCCCAATAATAAAAAAAAAGTCGGTAGAGGTGTGCCGAAACCGACATGTGTGTGGTAGGCCTGTAAAAAGGTGGACAAAAGGAATACCCATATAGTGTAATCGAAGATGTTTATTACGAAAACACAAGACATGGAGTTAGCGTCTTACTATGACATATCACAAATGCATTCCTTAATTCCTGTGTCGGCTGAGGTATGCGTTGTTGGAGGGATAGTACTGAATCAGTACCTCGTGACCCCTCTGGCTGGTCTTAGTTGATGGTAAGTTAATACGTAGTGACCCTGTATTTGTACAGGTTAGAATATCGTAGGCAAAGCTTGGAATCGTGTTGCCCTGTGATGGTAAATTGTGATGGTGTTGCATGTCCGGGATATATAACTTAATAGTGTGTGACATTTTATTTTGATGTGGAAAAAGTGGCGAAAGCCCCCAACTTTTATTCTTGAACCAGTTTTTAAGGTGGTGATCTGACATGAACTTCGATATATGCAGTAAGCTCTGTCATAGCAGTGTGCGTATTCTTTGAGGGCCAACTGTGTGAATTCCTGCTGTGACTTAGCAACTCTTCTATTCCATAGGTATGATTGGAGCTGGGGAGTAATCGTGGCTATCGGTGAGGTAGTTGTTAGGGACCTCCTGAACGCCTGAACCTGATGACTAGATAACTGGTCAGTAGCTGTAGTGTAAATGCCTGGTATGTGGTAACATACCAGATAAAATTGGTGACAGGCTTCCCCTACGTTAGTCGTCTGATGAATTCATAATAAGGGATACAAGACCAACCTTGTTTATGCCGTGGCCAATTGACAAATTATCAGAGACCTCGAACCGGTCTGCTTGCCCATAAATGACCCCATGTAGCTGCTGCAGCTATAATGAGTACGCGTGCAGAGTTCTTTAACCCCTGAAGGACCAACTTCTGGAATAAAAGGGAATCATGACATGTCACACAAGCCCTGTGTCAGCCGCTGCATTGGGGTGATTACATATGTAGATGACCATAGTTTAAAGACATATATATATATAGGGAAGAGAAACCTAAATATATTGTGCCTGGTGAGTTCCAGCTGGGCATCCTTCCGCTAGAAGAACCTGAAATATGTATGAAGTATGCCGGACATTACTAGTTTGCCAGCGGTAACTAATATTGGAGATCAAGTAAGTGTCTGTGACTGTGGTTGTAAATGCAGAGAAAGGGCCGTATAGGGAGGACTTGCATGGTCTAACGTGATCATGGTCGTATGCAATTGCCCCCTGTGGGTGAGAATTGCATCATAGTGGATTGCTCGCAGTGGGTCGTACGTAACGTGAGAGTGATGGCCTAGTGAGGGCCACGTGTAGAGGCCTGCTGTGGTAGATTGAGACAAAATTGCAAACTTATGTCAAAATTGTAACTCCTATGCAGTATGTCCTAGCCCAAATGAGGGTCTGCCAGTATGCTATACTAGATAGCACTTTGGTGGGTCGTTTTCTACGTCTGAAGAGTGTGGTTGTCAATAAACTTGGCCGTGGTATGCTACGGTCATGGTTGCCCTTGTAAGCTGGAATTATTTAAAAGCCTAGATGCTGGGTAAGGCCATACGATAGGCATTGCTCGTGCACGGCTAATGTGGTAACTTGCACCTGGTTGCCCGAGCAGTCGAAAAGCCAGGAAAGCGGGAAGGACAGTATAATATGATGTGTGTGAGGTGGTCTAATATGCAGCGGTGATGTGGGAATAGTCCAGTCTGGAATTGACTATGTAAGTCCAATGGCGGCTGGCTACTAAGGATGACCCCAGGAAACTTATATGACCCCCATGATAACTCAGGACGAATCATAATGTATGTGGCATGTAGCATATGTCATAAATTGACAATATGCAAGACTCAAATAGTACACTGAGAGGTAAGGGAATTATGACCTTCTGTGCATTTGGCCAGAAGTAGGCCGTGTAGATAGGGTCGTGAGGATAGCTACTGTGTGGCCGTATGTGGACAGTGCCAGATATAGCAGAAGTATAATACTATATAAGACTTGTTGATTTACAGGTAGAAAGCTTTGAGATAGCTGCAGTTTATGCATACATTCCTATCCAGCTAATATTTGAACTTGGTGCCCAAATGAGGGGATGCAAATAAAACGTATTTGTCCCCTAAGGTTACCTGAATTATGTTACCAAAGGCCCATAGATGGCTTTGTGTGAGGACTATGCATAAGAGGTTGAGAGAGGCCCAATGTAGTTCCAGTGGTACTGGGAGGTAATGTAATTCTGAGTGGAATTTAATTAAATATGGCCATACTGACATCAACAGCAACCTCCAGCATAACATATGATTGTTGTAGGGACTACATGGGGAACATGATAGCAGTGCCAAAATGCCATTACTAAATAAACGATATACTTGCTGAGTCAACTGACCTGAGGGTAGACGTACTGGACCCCATTTGCCCGGAATATAGGCTGAGACATGTGGTATGCAGTAGTGTCTGTACTGACACAAGACCAGGAAGGCCACCACCATACTGATTAATAATCTCTCCAGTCTTGTGTCTCTGGCCTGCAATGACCACTGAGATGTCGCCCTAGGTGTATGAGCGGTGTACTGTGGAATCCTGGGAGGCAATGATAAGCGATACGAGATTAACTTCCTTGCCCTCCAGGATGTCCTTTGAGGTTTGCCGGTATCATATGGTTGGGGTAATGACTTGAGGGCCTAAGAAGATGGGCGTGTTAGAATTACCGGGTTGGAAATGGGGAGTGCCCGGAATATCAGTGCAAGTGGTTTCTGGTGTCGTGACTGGACAGCTACGGGCTTCCAGTCTCTTTAGTCTATCGGTCATCTGCCTCATGGATGTTACTATAGAGATGAACCTGGTATACCAGTTGGCATTGCTTGTGCCACTTATGCTTGCCCCCGTGTCTGATTTGTTAGTATTGGCTTGCATTAGCCTGCATAATTCTGCTTTGCGGGCAGAAGGTGTAAAGGGTATGTTGCTCTGTGTTAAGACACCCCTGGTGTCTTTAAGAGAAACTGCCGTTTAGTTCACCTTCCCCTTTCGCAATATCAGTAATCCATTCGCATCAATTGTAATACACGAACCATAACCAGGGGAAGCGGCAATCTCCCGACCAGGATCCGTGAAAGGCTCCAAACTCCCGAACAGAAATCCACGAACTGCTGCTAGCCGCCGAACAACGATATCCACCAAGCGGCTTTCGGTTCCAATCAGCAGTCTCTAAGCGCAAAGAAGAAATCCCCCCAATAATGAGACAGAAGCTCTGCACTGAGGGTCAAACAGGATCTGGCTTTACCGTGGGCTACCTGCCCGTATTTATGCAGGTCTCCCACTTGGTGGACACTCCCCTAGGGGACCAAATGGGAGACTGGAATTACAGATGGACATGGGGACATTTCAGACATATAGTTACAGGTTTTTCCCACAATGCAATATTGTCTCCTCCCTTCTGCCCTGGAGATAATTTAGAAGTAATTCAATTATCTCCAGGACAAAGACAAATCGCCATCTTAGATATAAAACCAGAAAACACATAAAAATACATAATTTGAAAATAGCCGAACATTTCTTATTCACATCACATATCCTCAGATAGCCTGGATCTGAGTGCATATTATTGGCGAATAGCGCTCAGATCCCACACACATAGTTCAATCGCCATGGAGTCAAAGTTCTTACAGTCTTTCGGTATGCGATTGACTCCATGGGAGGGCTATCTGGGTTAAGTCTTTTCATGTGCTGTAAAACTCCTGAACGGCCGGTGTTCGTACGTTTTCGTGGAGGCAGCAAGGCGTCCCGTTGTTTCAGCGGTGTTCGGCAGAAAAAGTGTCCGTTTTTAGTTCCATGAAAATAGAGCCGAACACCGCTGGGCTTTCGTGTGTTTTAAAATGGCCGCTGCCTCGTGGTCGACATACGAACGAACGCCCTTAATTCGGTTTAATTGAGAAGTGTCTGCGGTTAACCACAAAGTTCTAATTGGGATCAATAGGTTAACCAGCAGCACACTTCTCTCCTGGGTGGTCATCCGTTCGGTAGTTTTGTTTGGGAAAAAACAGTCATTCGTATGGCTGGGCTATAGCAGCCATTTACACAAAAGTGCAGGAAACAGACGAATCCACCACAATAGTCAGACGAATGGTTCTGTCACACTCTGCGTAATTCAGCTGTGATTTGTGTGATGGTCCACAATCTACTTGAAGATGGACTGCCGGAATCTCCTTGTTTGTAGGGTTGGTAGTCCTAGTTGGGGTACCTGGAATAGAAATGTCATCTCCTTCTTCTGGAACTTGGGACATACTGAAATATATATATGTAGGAATCCTGAGTTCCTCTTGAGGATGTATACAGTTGTTTTAACTAGTGCTGAAGTGGCGAAACAATCAGTTAGACTGGTGATAGGTGAGTCCCTACTAGTTGCCAAGTGGCTGTGTCGCCTCTATCTATGATTGGCGCGAGGGGGTGATCTGCTGGATGTGGGTTTATAAAGGATGAGTCTTTGAACTGTGGAGGGGGTGTGACAAGTGATTACTTTGCTATGCAACATGCGAGGCGTCTAGCTATGATTTGGCCCAAGGGCGTTATTAACTCTTTCGTGGAGGATGGGTGTTGGCCTCGCGGGACCTCTATTTCTAAGGCATAAGGTGCCTGGGAGAAGTACCTAGGTGGCCATACCCACTCGTCTCTATGGAATGAATCTTTATACTAATCAGTGTTTAAGAAACCGGGAGTCAGAATAGGTAATGGTAGTATAGTAAATGTCTGCTCGGTACCGTTGTACCCAGCGTACCTTTATGTGCTTGTGGACTAAGTGCCATATATATCTGAGTAAAGAAACGTATAATTTGTTACGTATCGTGCCCGTACCAACGGAGGGAGACACCATCCGCTTGACTTTCTCTAGGTCTCTGAATCCTGTAAGCAGATCCAGAGATCAGATTACTATTACAGAGTTTAACATATACTGTTGTATGTCTCCCATGTAAGACTTGAGACCTAGTGCTTGATACCCGATGCACATACCAGTTATTAAGCAAAAAAAATAAATATATGTGCTATCATTGACATTGCAATATGCAGGGGTATGAAGTTACTTGTAGTTTAAATGCCGCATGGCCACCAGGTGGAGTAATGCTGTGCACCCTCCTGAACTATATATATATATATATATATATACATATATATATATATATATATATATATATATACACACACACACACACACATAGTGGCGTACACATGGCCCATGGGGCCCCGGTGCGAAAATTGATCTGTGGCCCCCCCCCCTCCACGCGGGCCGGAACACATGGCGGTGGGCACCTGGTTGCAGGGGTTACAGGGCTGCGACTGCGGTATGTACGTCAGTGCATGCAGATGCACACACTTAAAGGACCACTACAGACACCCAGATCACATCAATGAAGTTGTCAGGTCCCTCTAGTTTTAACCCTGCAGCTGAAAACATAGCCGGGTGACAGCAGGGCCAGCCTCGGGGGGCCCTGAGATGGCAGCCTCCTGGGCCCCCCAAGGGAAGAGGCTGGCCCAGTGGGTACACACCGGGTCGCAGGGGCGGCCGGGCCCCCTGGTGGGCCGGGCCCGGTCGCAACCGCGACCCCTGCGAACCTGGTATGTACGCCACTGCACACACACACACACACGTATGACATACCCGTATAATACCTATATGTCATATGACAACCAGCCGTTTATTATTTTTATTTTATAACCAGCCACATATTATTATTCTTATTTAATCAGTCACATATTGTAAATCTTATTTAGGAACCAGTCACAAATTATTCCTATTCATAACCAGCCACATATTATATTTTTATTATAACCAGCCACATAATTTTAATTCCAATTTGGCTTGCTATAATGTTGGGTGTGAGCAATGAAATGGTTAATGGAATTTCCGACTGTTCCAGCACAGACCTGACCTGTGAACAATGGGTTAATTGATGTGTCTGCTGGGCAGGAGCTGGGAGCCACACCTCCACTAGTTGTGCTGGAGAGTCAGTGCTGTGACTGCCTGCCTGCAGCCTCCAGCCAGGGACCGCACTACCAGCACTGGCATAACATGGGACCACAGCCACCCTGCACCACCAGAAATTGCCCACAGGTGAGGTGAGTGATAGGAGGACACCTGGAGATGGCAGGGAGAGATAAATCAGACCTGTAATATGAATGGACTGCAGGCTAGACTGAGGGTGCCAGGAGTTAGCCAGCTAAGTGCCCTGACAATGAATGCAACCCGAGGGTGCTAGGAATTAGTCTGCTGTTTCCGCAATAAAAGCTGCAGGTTGGGCTGAGGGATTTCTTAGGCTGGGGGGGTGTTAGAACTTCCCCAGGAACAGCAGTTGGCAGATGATGCTAGGAATTAGCCAGAGAGCGTTCACCCAGTTGAAGGAAGGTGAGAGAGTGTACTATGGACGGGTGAGTAACAGGGGAGGGAAGGGAAGGGAAGGGGAAGGGAGGCAAGGGAAGGGGATAGCAGGGGAGGAGTGTTTGGAAAGCCTCCGTGTTCCTACTGATAGGGCAAGTGGGGGTCGGAAGCTGGTGAGGCCGGCGTGACGGTTGCCTGGTTCTTAATATTAGGGGAGGGGGTTTGGGAACCAGAACACTGGCGTGAAGGCCTTCTGTGTCCTTACTACTAGGGTAGGGGGTTGGGAGCCGGCCCGTACACGACCCTCTTGCTGGGGGAGGGGGGAGGGCCTGTATTTAATACACTATCATAGTGAAAATATACCGATTAAATATATATATTAATTCACGTCAAGAATATGAAGTTTAGACACTCTTTGGACATACTACCCATATAGCCAATAAACGAGACCCCGGCGTGTAGGAACATTGTGCCGTTTAAGTGAGACACAGACAGTGTACTTCTGTACCCGTCTGTACTCCCTGTTGCTCTTCCGCCCAGTGACAAGGTAAAATCAGAGGTGGCCTTGCTGGGATACCACAGACCTCCATCACCTGGCTCCGTGGGGGGTCTGCAGTACCCCCATGGTATATGGTAGCCGTGGACCTCGGCGGGTCAGGCTATGTCTAAGTTGCAGACCGGTACAATGATACCGGTCTGCTCACTTACTGTTCGGCGGGAAAATGACCGTGCCAGGTGGCAGAGAGTTCTGGGGAGCGAAGCCATTGGCGAGCTGTCTGGAGGAGGCTGAGAGCTGTAACTGACAACCCGCTGGGAACCGGAAGTCCAGCCCAAAAGTACGTCTGGATCAGTAGGTAAGTTAGGTAGGAGGGAGAGTCCCTTTTAAAGAGTCATAGCCCCTCTTTCCAATATATACAAATACATACTATCGACTTATTATTATTATTATCATTTATATAGCGCCAACAGATTCCGTAGCGCTTTACAATATTTTGAGAGGGGGGATGAAACAATAAATAGGACAATTACAAGAAAACTTACAGGA